CGCCCATCTTTGAGGCTTCACCTAAATCCGAATGACATGCATTGGCAGCAGTCTTATCAGATCACGGGTGTTGAATGGCAACAGCTGACAATGTGAACCGTGCTGCATAGTGAGTGATGCAAGAATCACTTAGCTCAAGGACCTCCAACTTCGGCCAACCTATTTTCTGGAAGAACTTTAAGTGTGTGTGTGTGTGTGTGCGCGCTTCAGATGCCTATTGTATTGGTTACGCATGCTTATCGATTGTAACTCACTATACTGCGAGACAGTTCACGACTACACCGTTGCAACTCACCTGCCCCAAAGAAAAACACAAGAGGGCCATTCAAAACTGGAGGGCTAGTCAAGATTCCACACAAAACACACACACACACACACTCACGCCCGGCCATTGTGGGTGGGCTGCCGGATGGCCCGTGACTAGAACTCCACACGGACCATGGCCAAAACTAGCTGGAAAGATTACTTGCTGGTGCTCAGTCCGGGAATGACCTTCCGGGTTTGGAGAATGAAGCTAGGAATTCCCTTAAAGAAAACCAGAGGGGATGGCTTATAGGGGTCGGTTTCTCATTCCCTGCTGAGAACCAGCAAGATTTGGGCTCGTCCCCTGGTTTTGTTTTTGGACATGTCTTTCGCTCTTCGCCCTTCTCATGCTCCATGGACTATAAACGAGTGTTTTTGACCCATTGCGAAATCGGCAAGTTGCCCGGGAACCATTTGGTGGGGGTGACCACTGTGGGAAAGCCAGCTTTGCCCTCAACAGTGGCAACCCAGAATCTGAGTTCGGGACTGATTCCAGCGCTTTCTCAGCAGTGGCGCGTGACCTGGCTTTGACGTGCAACCAAAGACGGCAAATAGCGGGACCCTTTGCTGGACTTCGGAAATACTTGCAGTTGTTTCCCACCCAAATCCCACATTTCAAAATTCCAACCATCAAAATGAAATGGACCCTCAAAGTACCCTTCGAGAGAATTGGGTATATTGCCAAACCTCAAAAAATCGCAAGGATCCAAGTTGGATGATGACAATCCCAAGGTAAGCCATGGGAAGTCTACAGAAATGGCCTTGGCCAATTCAGCCCAAGCAATGCCAACAGGGTCTGAAGGTGTCCAAAAATATGGACCCCGCTTCTAAAGATTAGGAAGGCCTAGTACAAAGCGGTAGTGTCAAAAGGACAAACCTCACGAGTCATACTCAAAACCCGGTCTTAAAATGGTCTACCCAGAACCATGTAAGGAATCAAGCGGCCGGCGGCCGCACCTATTGATGGCAAGGGGCTTGTCCCTTCTCGGTTGCTTTCTGCTCCCCTGCAAAAGTTTAACTGTTAGTGGTTTTGTGGAAAACCCATTAGTTGGCAAAAAGTTTAAGTCCTAACATCCCTTGGCAAAATGCAAAGCCTCACTCACCTTCTACGCAAATCGGTTTTGAGAAACTGGCTCTCATGGGGTAAACACCGCCTGGCTTCCGGCTACAGTAAACGACAAGCCACGCCTCGCCGCGGAGGCCTCAGCATCCTGCGCCTCGAAAGCTACGTCCAGGTTTTTCGGGGCGGGGTCTCAGGGTCTCAGAAAAGACCTTCGGATTTCGAGGCCCGTAGCTGAATGGGGTATTGAAAATGGAACTGTTGCCCACCTGGAAGAAACGTGTTGGACCAGGCAGTAAAAAACAGGGGCCTGCATGTTGGGATAGCTCAGATTCTCGCTGGCAGTCCCAGTCCCAGCGTACTCCGTAAACAGAAAAGACAGAAAGAAACAACTAACTCTTCCCTCCAAAGCAGAAATTAAGGGATGGCATCGAGATCATCTGGATCCGAATCCGTAGGCCCGGTTCATGGCAACGAGGTTCATGTCAGTCAGTCATTGTGCTGTTCAAAGTAATGCCTCGCTAAACCCTTCAGAGACACATCTCAAAGAACGACCCGGCAGATATGCAATTGTCAAGGCATCTTCTGTAAGCGCCATGCCATGATCGTCCCTATCAACAACAAGGAAATAGAAGGTGGCTTGGAATATGCCACGTTATTGAATCCATCCACTCAGCCTTTGCACGTGCGTGACGCGTGGCTTTAGACATAGACTGCCTTTTAACAGATAGCTTGGTTGAAAGAGAAAGCAAAAGGAAAACAATTAAAGGACGGAAAAGCCCAGAAACGCGTAGTGGATGAGCGAGTGTGTGAGTGTGACGGAGTGAGTGAGCGAGTGAATAATGAATGAGTGAGTGAGTGACTGAGTGCGTGAGTCAGTGAATAAGTGAGTGAGCGAGTGAATGAGTGAGTGAGCGAGTGAGTGGGCGGCGGGGGGAGCGCGAGTCTTATAGGCCTTGTGACTGAAAGCTAGCAAATGTCAAAAGCAAACGAGTTTGAAAGCAAACAGACATGTGGCATACTAGCACTGGCCTCTACGCTCCCGAGCCGCTAATCCGAGCGTCAGATAGCAACAACGCTGTCCAGTCATCAAGCGAAGAGAAAGCATGAGACATGGCTATGTTTCCATCGCACCTCGCAACTTAAATCGATTCAATCTGACCAGCACCTCAAAAGCCAGCATGCCCTGTGCGCTGCATGGCTTCACTCTGGAATTCGCGCCCCAAGCAACATCCTGTCCCCTTTGAGAGAGTGAGTGAGTGAGTGAGTGAGTGAGTGAGTGAGTCGAGTGAGTGAGTGAGTGAGTGAGTGAGTGAGTGAGTGAGTGAGTGAGTGAGTGAGTGAGTGAGTGAGTGAGTGAGTGAGTGAGTGAGTGAGTGAGTGAGTGAGTGAGTGAGTGAGTGAGTGAGTGAGTGAGTGAGTGAGTGAGTGAGTGAGTGAGTGAGTGAGTGAGTGAGTGAGTGAGTGAGTGAGTGAGTGAGTGAGTGAGTGAGTGAGTGAGTGAGTGAGTGAGTGAGTGAGTGAATGGAGTGGAGTGGATGAATGGAGTGGAGTGGAGTGGAGTGAGTGAGTGAGCGTGACTGAGTGAGTGGGTACACAAACGCACGCCTAGATGACCAGAATGCTGCGCCTGCCACAACATCCTGTCCCTTTAGACAGCTGCCAAATGCTGCCCCTGCCACAGAAAATACGCCCAGATGCGCAAAATGCTGCGCCTGCCACGATTTCGGCAAAGGCATCTCCAAAGTGCTACGCCTGCAACAATCTCGCGCGCCCCGAGCCGCGCGCGCGACAACATCCTGTCCCTTTAGACAGCTGCCAAGTCCTGCCCTGCCGAAGAAAATACGCCGAAATGCACAACATGCGGCGCCTGCCACGATTTAGGCAACGGCATCTCCAAAGTGCTGCGCCTGCCACGATTTCGCGCGCCCCGAGCCGTGCGCGCGACAACATCCTGTCCCTTGAGACAGCTGCCAAATGCTGCCCCGGCCACACAAACACACTGAGTGAGTGAGTGAATGAGTGAGTAAGTGAATGAGTGAGTGGGTGAGTGAGTGTGTGAGTGTGAGCGAGTAAGTGAGTGAATGAGCGAGTGAGCGAGTGAGTGAGTGAATGAGTGAGTGAGTGAATGAGTGAGTGAGTGGGCGGCGGGGCGGGCGGGCAGCGGAGGGTGGGCGGCGGGGCGGGCGGACGGCGGACGGCGGACGGCGGACGCGCCGTAAAAGTAAGAACCAACCACACAGATGTGGGGAAAAAGATTAAAGGAAACCAAAAAGGCGACAGGTTGAAACCTTAATGCGTGGATGGACAGAATTAAACTCGCACCAGTCAGGATGGATGTGAGGGGACAAACTGAGTTTGTTCTGCGTAAGTCTGGCAACGTCCTCTGGTGTCCCTTTCCACTCGGCTACTAAACAAAGCTACCATCATCACCATCTCACCGACCTGCCAACAAGCACGTAACTTCCCGTTTACAGCCCCATGCCTTGTGCCGCAGCGCTGCGGCTTCACGCTTCTTCATGCCCACAGCCACCCTGGCATGTGATGATGTCAGAAATTTGAGTGCCCATGTACGCGAAATATTTACACAGAGAAAAGCCCTCCAAATGGATCAAATCCTGGTACATGGTTCTCAAAATTGGGGGCCAATTCCTCAGGGAGTTGATTTCCTTTGGGTTCCCTTCCAAACCATCCAGAACAGGAGGCACCGTAGGGGTCCCCTAGTCCCACGTTTTGAGACACATCCATTGGCATCATAGGGCGGGGCGGTTCGGTGACACCTGAGAGCGGCATGTTTTGAGAAGGAATGTCCCTTTGCCCCTTTATCACAACATGGAACCATTGGGTCCCTGGAGGACCTCCCGTTTGGTTCAATGTTTTTCTTTCCAGCCTCTGCCCCCGCTTTGTAGCACTTGGCTTTTTTGGACATGGGAAAAAGCAGGCGGAGTCACTGCGGTGTTTCGGTCAAGAATGTCAGCTGGATGGTTGAAGAGAACTCATTCACAAGAACATTCAAATTTTAGACATGTTTGGCATCTGCATTTTTTCATTATGTTGTTTTTTCTTTGCAGCATCCAAGAAAAAGTTCCCTCTTGGCAACACCCACTTGCCCAGCCTTTCTCCAGACTTTGCCAGAGCTTCAGCCTCCTTTTCCGCGGCGTCCATGTCCACCTGCGATGCCCATGAGACGCTTGCCCCCTTCAACGCCGGAACGAGTCATGTTGTGCAGGCACCAAAAACTGAAAAAAAGGCTCATGTCGAGGGCGCCCTTTTTGAATTGGTGTACAGGGGGGAGAGAAAAAAACAAAAAACAAAAAAAACGACGCATGTCAGGCTCAGGAGTTACCCAACACCAAAAAATACATGCTCATGTTGTCCCTCGCCCACCTGAGCGACGCAAGAGAAGTGGGCTTCCTTGTGGTGAGGTGATGGTTCAAGGAGAAATGTACAGAACCCCGCGGTTTCAGCGCCCCTAAAAGCGTCTCTCGAGACAAAATGCAAGTGGGTTGAACATCCGAGCACTCAGTACTGTCGAGCCCGGATGAATCAGCTCGAGGTTCCTTAAATGGGACACGCCCTATTGATCACCCGTTTGGTCTCTTCTTGCTGCTTCATCACACGGCGCTCACCATGATTTCTGACCCTGGGCAAAAAGAGTCATCGACGCGAAGATTCCAGCATCGACCCCACGATTTGAAGTCACAGAACCTGGCGGAACAACTTGAGAGGAGCCGCTCAAAATTGAAAGCCGAAAATGGAAAACACCGCCTCAAGCAGCCAGGGTATTTACTTAATCCGCTGATAGCAACTGATGATGCTAATTGGGGGACAACCCATCAGCACAATTGACCCAAAAGGTGATCTTTACCACCACCAAATGGACATAGAGGTATATGTGTGTGTGTTTTGTTTACGGGATCCCCTCCAAAATGGATTTTGGTTTTCCTCTGCCCATAAAGGTGGGAATGGGTCAAAATTAACCCACCAGAAGACCGCAGTTTTTCCATTTACCAGAGTTCCATTTTGGGGTTACTCATATATATATATATATGTGTATATGGGGGTTGATCCAACGGTCCTTTACCTGGGATGACAATTGGTGGAAAAATCACTATGATATTTCAACCAGCTGGGAAAAGTTATGGGGGGGCCATGGAATACTGGCTCTAGCTTACAAGTGGCCCAATTGACGATCTTCCAACTACAATCGAATATTCATCAACCCCCACATGTCAAGTCTACTTGGGATGACCATTGCTCGGAAAACCACTATGATAGTTCAACCACCATGGTCAAAACTGGAACCCCGTGGAAGATTGATCAACCCCACATTCTCCCCCCCAACCCCTCATACTTCATACCCCCATACCCCCATACCCCCCATACCCTACCCCCATACCCTACCCCCATACCCTACCCCCATACCCTACCCCCATACCCTACCCCCATACCCTACCCCCATACCCTACCCCCATACCCTACCCCCATACCCCACGAAAAAACGCTGCCCTAATCGCTTTAATACCCCTGACCCCCATACGTAACTCCTACCCCATACCCCACACTAAAGACCCTCCTCGAGCCCCATGCCCCGTGACGAAAGCCACGCCGCTGGATGCATCTCGCTCCGCGCCTGGGCCTCTCGCGCATCGAGCTCCGCCGCCTCCGCGGCATGGCGGTACTGGGCCGCCCGCTGCGCGCCTGAGCCCAGGAGAGAATCCAGGGGCCGAGAAGCGGAGGTTTTGGTGAAAGGAGGTCAAACTTCGGTTGGTGAAGGTTTGGTTGGCTTGGTTTGGTTGGTTTGGTTGGGTTGGTTTGTTGGTTTGGTTGGGTTGGCTAGGGTTTGGTTGGTTGGGACCCATCCTGAAGCAACAGGGAGTCAGTAGCAACAGGGACATGAGTTTGGCTTTCTTACTGGTGCTCAGTAAAAAGACCCCCAATGAACCATTTGTGGTCTCCTACCGCCAGAACACCGGACACTGGACGCTGTTGGGAAAAAAACCCTAATGGATGTTTCTCCGCAAACGATGGGCAGGAAGCTCAGCGGTCGCAAAAGAAGGAACCTTGTAGCATGGGCAGTACATTGTCGAAAGCAGTACCAACCGAGAGTCACAACTAGGACCGTTTCTAAAGGGGAGCAGACCACTAATTGTCCTGTACTTGCCCCATTCTTGGTCCCCATTATTGGCCGGGAATCATCATTGTCAGAAAATTGCCAGAACCCCGGAGAATTCTACTGGTTTCGCCAAAGAACGATGGGTAAAACAAAGTAGTTATTAGTCAACCTTCAACCAACATTTTCAACTGGTGCCAAATAGGGCATCTGGAACATTGCAAAATTGGTCATTCCCTTTTGATGTCCCTCGAGGTAACATATGCAATGATCATGTTCCATTTGCTACCTGGCCAAACATTGACACAAAGAATGGCGGGTTCAACTACCGTGAAAGTAGACCAGCTTGGGTTTCAGGAGGTCATTTTCCCCGAATCCAGGGCTGTTCTGGAAAAAGGGGGGACCTGGAGTCCCCGAACAAATCGAACATCGCCTCAAACCATGTGGATCTTTCTCCTTCCGCTCGGGTCGGCTCGGTTCGAGTCTTGCTCCGCCTGTGGCGACCGCCGTGACGTAGGGCAGCGCCGCAGCGTCCGCTGCCTGGCGCGACCAAGGCCAGGGGTTCCGAGCCAATTTGAGCAAAAGAGAGGGGTCCCAAAGGAAATCCTCGAACTAGGTCCAGTAGAGAGGATAGAATAAGGGTGCCCGATTTTTGTTGCTGCCTCTTTTCGTAGGGGAACCGAATCTCCCCCAAAAAAGAAACGGTCAAAGGGCACCTAGCTGCACCTGGCCTACAAAGTGGGATGGGCTTTGGGCTCTGCGAATCTGTACGAGTACCTTGTGATTGCAGCGAGCTCCAAAATGAAAAGATGCAAAAATGGAATCTCTGGAGGCTTCGTTGTAAAGGGCCTTCGTGTCACAGGGTGTTCGCCCTATTCCACCCAAATACATGTCGCTGAGGCGGAGTATTTTGGGGCATCCCTCATTTATTTGGAACCTCCAAAAGTAGCAGCTTCAATGGACACCACCAGTAGATTGCAACCTTTGATGCGGGGAAATCCAGTGAGCCCTGGCGAAAAGGCCAAACTTCGTGGAAGCTATGTCTGGCAAAAAATTGAAGATCTATTTCAACACCCCTCTTGAACAACCACAGCCGTAGCGCATTTCACTTCCCTGTCTTCCTCGGGCCAATCTCTGGGCCTTGAATTGATTTGATCCATTTCATGGCCGCTCTGATCGTCATGTAGCTTTGTCTTAAATTTGGGAACCCAAAATATAGTTGGTCTCCCTTGGGCTTCCCTTTCACACCAACCAACAGCAACAGGGGTTCACAGAAAAGGGAACACCCACGTAAATAGAGTTTCTTGGAATGAATACTGTGATTCCATCGACAAGTGGATTTGGGGAAATCTGAGGGGATTTGGACATCTGAGGGAGGAGGGAGTTTAGAAGCAAAGAAGGAACACAAATGGAAACCAGCAGAAAGCGAGAGAAGCCCGGCCTTTTAGGAGGCTCGCCAGAGGCCGTCCACAGGGACCAACTATCTTCCCGTACATCCCACCGACCCCTCCCTCCCCCTTTCAAAAAAACAAAACAACAACTCCACCCACCCACCCCCCGTTCCCCCTCCCCCCCCCCCCCACCACTGATCTCCCCCCCCCCCTCCCCCGTACCCCGGCCTGGCGTCGGAAGCCCGGCTCCCCAAAGTGCATCCGCGCCACGTAGCTGGCCGCCTCCGACTTCGCCGCCGCCGCCGCGGCCTCCGGGATGAGCCTCGGTCGGTCCGCTCGGGCGCTCGAGCTGCGGCGGCAACGTCGCGCTCGGGGCGCGGTGCTCCGGGGAACTGAAATAGACCCTTCGGCACCCGGCGCTTTCTGTGGTTGGTTGAGTTGACCTGTTTTTTTTTGGGGGGGGGGCTGGGTTGAGTTTGAAGGGATCGGAACCCCAAACCCCCAAGAGAAGTGGCAACAAGGGCACCACTGGGCAACAGAGGGAAGGAAGGGGAGGCGGGTTGTCAAACAACCGCACCAATTTCATCATGGTTGTTTGGGGAAACCACCTAGAGGCACAAGCATGCATATGATTTTCTCAGAATGGGTAATATCCAAAGATGGTTTCTTGTTGGCTTCCCTGAAAGAGCAGCTTGACTTTTGACTCTGACACCAGATGTGTGCAGAATCTGGGGGATGGTCAGGGGGGATCATCATCATCATCATCGTCATCAACAACAACAGCAGCATATCATCATCATGCTGCTCCTCCTCATCATCATCGTCATCATGACCAGCACTACTACCCCATCATTATCACAGAACCATCACTATCACCATCAAGTGAACATGCATGATGATGAGCTATGCACAAAACGATCAGGCAAAGCAGGCAATCCAGGAATGAAGAAGAGGCTCGGGAGAATATACTGACATGGGTTTGTCTCCAAGAAAAAACCCGCAAAATGTGCATGAGGTCGGAAAGTTCGACTGTCCCATGTCCCCAAACCAGCAGTAGACTGCCAACAATTGTGCCATTTGCTGGTCTGCCCAGCCCAACAGAATTGAGCAACGCCCGAAACCTCGATTTTGGTTCTACCAATATGGTTGCAAAGGTTTGCGGGTCCTATAACCCAACTAAGCCGGGTAGGGCCACCTACTCGCAGGACATTTTGGGCGCTGCTCGGGCCTTGGGTGCGACATCCGTCCGACACTTCCCATCGAGGTGCTTCTCGGCCAGCTGCCTGGTAGTGGCACCCACCTGCGGGTACTAAGGCGGCTGAGTTGCTCTGCTGACCCCTTGGGATGAACCAAATTTGGTTGTCGGCTTGTGCAAAATATGAGGCCGGCCCCAGTTCCTTTTTTGGACCTCGCCGCCGCCGTTTCGGTGCGGCCTTGAATTGGAAGACGACCCCTCTGTTGAAACAAAGGAACCTTGAGTCAGCCTCCTAGATTCGTTCATCAGCTTCTTGGAAGAACATTCAGGGAATAACCCTGTGTACCCACGTATGGATGTTTCAAGATCGGGCCGTAAACCCCCAATATCGCGGTTTCCTTTTGGTGTCCCTTGACAAGGGTGGCCTCAAACCACGCACACACACACACACACACAGAGAGAGACACAGAGAGACACAGAGAGACACACAGAGACACAGAGAGACACAGAGAGACACAGAGAGACACACAGAGACACACAGAGACTCACAGAGACACACACACAAACACACAGAGACACACAGAGACTCACAGAGACACACAGACCAACAGAGACACGCAGAGACACACCGAGACGCACAAACGCACAGACGCACAGACACACAAACACACAGACACACACTCACACACAAACACACAAACACACGTACTCACACACACACATTCCGATTTTAGGAAACCCTTGATATGAACCCTTTTTATTCTTTAATCAATTTTAATTAGGCCTCGGAGATCCTGCCGCCAAGGGTGCCTTGCAATGGGCAATGGGGCTATTTATGACCTTTGGCTCCATAGCGGAACGCCTGAAAGAGGGGAAGCAACGCCTCTGGATTTGCGTCTGGATGTATCAGGCTGCGTTTGGTTCACTGGCACCATTCAGGGAATCGTGCCTTGCGATCCAAAAAACACACACACACAAAGCCTCCGTTTGCAGAAAAAAGGACCCAACAAAGAAGCGAGCACTCAAAAAGTGCAAAGAAACATGTCACCGAAATTGGGGATATCCCAACTTTTCAAGAAAAAAGAAAGAAGACCCCAAAGAACTGTGACACGGAACCGTTCACGGTTCCTATCCTGGAATCCGGTCAGGTCCATTCACACGACCTCACCTCAACCCTGAAGCTTGGAAACCGGCGGCTCCGTTTTTTCAACTCGGAGCAGCAAAAGGGACCCTTCTTGGCATAGCCTGCCAGCACCCTGCCGCCCTTTTGTGGGGGGGTGGGGGGGGTTTCAGCACCCAGCCTTTGAGCCCGCGAAATCTCCAGCGAAACTGAATGCCATTGATCCCAGTCCCGAGGGTCAACTTTCTTGCCCGCCAAAACCCAGGGAGAATCTTCCCCCAAACAAACTGCCAACCAGACACCCGAAACTTGTCGTCAGATGAAATTTGTGGTGCTCTTGTGCCACGCCATTTTGGGGGTACTTGAATGGCTGGAGGCCACCCTTGGCTGCTGGAAACGGGATCTTGAAGCACCGGGATTCGCCCTCGCCTTGCGCAGCTGCGCCTTGGCCTTCTTGAAGACCTCCAAGGCGCGACAGAACCGGGGGTGTGATCTTCTTTTGTGAGGGCGCACACGCTCTATCTGCTTTGCTTTCCTTCGACCTCCATTCGCTTGTTCTGCCCATGCTTGCTGTAGTCCTCACCTGACCAACCTTCATGGGCTCGTTTAGGCACAAGAGAGCTCCCACAATTTGCCTAAATTGGGTTTGCAACGGCCCCAGGTTGTTCAGTTCCCCTGGCCCAAACAAATGGAAGGAACCTCTTTTCGGGTTGACCCAAGTCTTGGTGGGGGAGCTTAATTGATGCTCCTGGCTTTTGTAGAGGGTACATGGGAAACTTCTCCTCAACCACCAAACCAATCCAAACTAAGGGTGCCACTGCACCGGACCTCCGGAGAAAACCACGCCATTGGGCCCCCGCATTATAGACTTCCACCGCGCTGTCGCCCGCGGCAGTGGCATTAGCCTGGCGGTTGGGCGATCGGTGACCTGGCTGGGGGGAAGGCTGATGGGGCCCTGGTTGCTGGCGAACGGTGAATAGCCCTCTCGCGGGAACAAGGAGGAGGCCGGGTCCTGCAAAACAGGAAGCTGGGCGCTCAAAAGGGCAGGGCTGTTGGTTTCCCTGTGACAGATGTTTGGGAGCCTGCAATCAGTGCAGCAGATAGGGTGATTTGCATCAAATGTGTCAAAGCCTAGGACTCCCTCAGGGTCCACTGCAAGCCGATGAGGGTCCCTAGTTTTGACCACTTCCCAAATACGGTATCGTACTCTCTTTCTCTCTTTCTCTCTTCTTCCTCTCTCTCTCTCTCTATGTATGTATGTATGTATGTATGGACGGACGGACGGATGCATGCATGGACGGACGGACGGACGGATGTATGTATGCATGTATGCATGTATGTATTATGTATGTGTATATGTGTGTATGTGTGTATGTGTATGTGTCTGTGTGTCTGTGTGTCTGCGTCTGTGTGTCTATATGTGTATGTGTGTATGTATGTATGTGTGTAGGTGTGTATGTATGTATGTATGTATGTATGTATGTATGGACGGACGGACGGACGTATGCATGCATGCATGCAAGCATGCATGCATGCATGCATGGACGGACGGACGGACGGACGTATGTATGTATGCATGTATGCATGTATGTATTATGTATGTGTGTATGTGTGTATGTGTGTATGTGTGTATGTGTATGTGTATGTGTGTCTGTGTGTCTGTGTGTCTGTGTGTCTATATGTGTATGTGTGTATGTGTGTATGTATGTATGTGTGTAGGTGTGTATGTATGTATGTATGTATGTATGTATGTATGCATGTATGTATGCATGTATGTGTGTATGTGGGTGTGTCTGTCTGTCTGTCTGTCTTTCTCTGTCTGTCTGCTGTCTGTATGCATGCATGCATGTCTCTCTGTGTATAAATGTATATATGTATGTATGTATGCATGCATGCATGCATGCATGTATGCATGTATGTATGTGTTTGTGTCTGTCTGTCTGTCTGTCTGTCTGTCTGTCTGTCTGTCTGTCTGTCTGTCTGTCTGTCTGTCTCTGTCTGTCTGTCTGTCTGTCTGTCTGCATGTCTCTCTGTATGTGTATACATGTATGTATGTATGTATGTATGGATGTATGTATGTATTTATGTATCTATGCATGTATGTGTGTCTCTCTGTCTGTCTTCTCTGTCTGTCTGTCTGTCTGTCTGTCTGTCTGTCTGTCTGTCTGTCTGTCTGTCTGTATGCATGCATGCATGTCTGTCTGTCTGTGTATACATGTATGTACGTCCGTACGTCCGTATGTATATGTGTGTGTGTCTGTCTGTCTGTCTCTATGCATGCATGCATCTCTGTCTGTGTGTGTGTGTATACAGGTATGTATGCACGTAGTACGTACGTACGTACGTACGTACGTATGTGTGTGTGTGTGTCTGTCTGTCTTTCTACGTCTGTCTGTTTGTCTGTATGCATGCATGCATGGCTTGCTCTGTGTGTGTATACATGTATGTATGTATGCATGCATGATTGTATGTATGTGTGTATGTATGCCCAGCCCAGGGTCCCGAAGTGATCCCAAAACCTAACCGACATGATCGAAATGACCAGGAATTGAGCGGAGCAGAACTGGGGACCAGTTCCGACCAATTCAGGTCCGTGACCCCAACATGAATCAACCTTTTCACAAATAGAAACGCGCCAACCCTGTGTATGTAATGTATGGAATGTATGTAGTGTATGTACTGTATGTAATGCATGGACTGTTTGTGATGTAGGTGTTTTATGCAATGCGTGTAATGGTTGTAATGATGCAATGCATGTAATGTTTGTAAGGTAGGTAAGGTATGCAATGTATGGAATATTGTGTAATGTATGTGTGCAAAGTGTGTAATGTGCGTGCTGTGTGTAATGTATGCAATGCACGTAGTGCTAGATGCAAGGCATTTAATGCATGTAATGTAGTGCATGCAATGTAATGGTGTATGTAATGTACACGAATTCAATGTATGCACTGTATGAAATGTATGTAATGTATGTAATGAATATATGTGTATTCATGTATGCAATGCATGTCATGTGTGTAGTCTAGGTTCTGCATGGTCTGTATGTTCTGTATGGTGAGTATGTCTTGTATGCTGTGTGTGTTATGTGTGTTACGCATGCTAGGTATGTAAAGTATGTAATGTATGTACTGTATGCATTACATGTAACGTATGTAGTATTGTATGTACTAGTACGTAATGTATGCAAACTATGTAATGCATGTAGTGCATGAAATGCATTTCATGCATGTCATGCATGTAATGTATGTAATGTATGCAATGCAATGTATTCTATGTATCTATGTATCTAAATACTTATGTATCTATGCATGTATGTATCTGTGTATCCCTGTATCTGTGTACCTATATCTATCTATCTGATCAATCTATTGTTGCACGCACCCCTTGTTTGACATGTCGTGGTGCGTTTGCTGCATTGCGATGGCTGCATCCGCTTTTTGAGGCACCCTTTCCGGGTTCTTGCAGAAAGAAACCAAAAAGCAACCATTCAGCTTCAAAAGTGATTCCGCAGTACAAACACACGCATATCCTTGTGGCGCCCGCCACGCCTGGGCGGACATCAGGTGGGGCTCGTAGCTCTTGGCCTCCTCACTCACCGCCTTCCTGATGTGGAACATGGGTTCAAGGGTTCAAGGGTGATGTTTGCACCAAGAAAACCATGGCGTTTTTAAGGCTTCAGGGGTGATGTTTGGACCAAGAAACAGGGGTGGTAAGGGTTCAAGGGTGATGCGACAAGAAAGCATTGGGTTTTCAGCATGGGCTTGGAGTGTTCCCGAGGGAAACTAAGAGGGAATGGGAGCCACATATTCGGAGGAGCGAGGGGGAAAGGAGGCTTGTCAATGATTCTATACAAGGGCATAGAATGCCAAGAACCCCACCGAAAAGGGGCACTGGGCGAGGGGCTGGGTTCACGGCCCAATGAAACTTGATCCCCTTGGACACTGGCCACGCAGCCCAGGCGCTTAACCCTGTCCAGCATCTTGGTTGCTCGCGCCAGCTCCTAGGCGAAAAGCAAAAGCCACGGGTCCCCAGCGGCTTGAAATTCTCTCAAAGTCACCAAAGTCACCCCCGATGTGGTAAGCTGAAGGGACAATTGAGTCGTGTGCCGTCACAATGGAAGGTGGATCCGGCAAGGCCCCGCAACAGTTCTGGGTTCTCTGGGGTCACGATCAATCCTCTTGCACAAATATTCATGGCTCCTCAGATTGTCCAAGCACCATTTAGCATCCACAGGAATGACAACCATCCAAACGTTCTAAAACTGGCACCAATGAGTGCGCAGAACCTTTCGAGGTTAACAATTGCGCGGCAATGTGCCGAAACTGGCCCGTCAGTTCCTTTCCGCAATCTACCAACAGGGGGGGCACATCGGTTAACGAAAATCACGAGTTGAGTTCATACGTTGATCGAGTGCTTGCTACCACCATGGCTTGGCGCGCGGGCCTCTTGTCGACGAATACTGTCCTGCTGGAAAAAGATTCTGCGCATTTCCGTGCTGACGGGCTATTGCGTTTTGGTCAAACAGCAGCCATGCATCTCCGCGCGACGGGCGGCGGAGATTTGTCGGTCGGGTTCAAGGCAGGTGTAGGGCGATGGCAAGCTTAGGGTTGGCGTAGGGCAGGTTTAGGTTTAGGCCGGGTTTTAAAGGCTTGGGGCGGCTTGTGGGAAGTGAAGGAGACCAGACCAACCTGTTTTTCGCCAGAGGCCATCTGAACAGGTAAGTCTTGCCCACACACCCAAACCCTTCCCCTCAAACAGGCTACCTGGAGCCTCAAACTATCCTTACAATCGGCCAGCATTCTGGTGCTTTCCCAAGTTGGGCCAGGAAATTGTTTCAGGGTTCCCCCCCCAAAAAAGACAAGAAGTTAAGCCCAACAAAGGCCCTTGCACCCTCCATCTTACGTACAATGTAGGGCACACGTCTTCTCGACATTTGGCCATGGGTCAAAATCCAAATCGTACCCCCAGTGAACATCCCAATCCAACCACTAAAATAGGTTCTAAAATGGGAGGTGAATTCACCTACCCCAAGATGGGATCCCCCTGGTTTGGACCCACAGCCATTTAGTCTTCACCCCTGAGAAAAAAAAAAGAAAAGAAAGAAAAGAAACACCTTGCACCAGTTAGGATTGATGGACTCTCCCAGAGGACTTCATCCATCCCAACTGGTGCAGCACGTCCATTTGCCCGCGGCGCCAGCGTGTGGAGCTTCGTGCGCCCGGCGCTGTAGGCGGCACGCGCCTCCGCCGCCGCCCGCTCCGCTGCTGCGCGCTGCGCGCGGATGCCCCGCAGGTCCCAGGTGACCTGACAGCCGTGCGGGGCAACTGGGGGCAACTAGATGGGAATCATCAGTGTTTGTTGGCAAAACAAACTTTCTGCGAGTGATCTGTCATGCGCTCCCAAAGCTTGGTCTGGGAGGAAGCACCTGATGACAATCCCCGGAAATAAAGGGATCCTTACATTTTACACCTTGTAAATGGTGGTTTCCCTGTATTTCGGTGGAAAAAGCCATGTTTCAAATGGGCAAAATGTATCTTTTAAGGAGCCCTATGGGAAACCAGTGTCTGTTGGCATTTACACAGGCCCAAACTAGGGAATTTAGGAATCAAATTTGTGGTAAAACACTCTGAGTTCACTTGAATTATCAGAGTTTGTTGGCAGTTGCTAAGGGAATCATCAGTGTTTGCTGGCATTTACCTCGGGAATCATCAGAGTTTGTTGGCATTTACCACGCGAATCATGTTGAGGGTCTGACCCAGATAAAGGGGTGTGTTGACTACTTACTGCGCAAACAGGAATGCTGCCGCTTCTTCTCCCAGGTTCACAAAATGCTCAAGCAAAGCCACAAACTTAAGAATGTCTCTAAAATAGGGAACCCCCCATGTTGGATGCTTAGGGGAAGAGGAAAACCAAGAACCTCGTAGATGTGCTCTGCCTGCTTCACCTCCTCTTCCGCCGCAGCATCTGCTTGCGCCTCCGCCTTTGCTTTCGCTTGCGCGGCGGCCTTCACTTTGGCGTCGGCCTCCGCCTCCTGACACGGGGCACTCTCTCCTGAACATATAGAACTCTCACTGGCTGAGTGGATGGCCCAAAAAAAGTCCAAACTTTATATTTACCACTAAAATGGTCTTCCCAAAAAGTTTAAGGTTCATGAACTCAGGAAGTCAGTGAACCCCAAATGGCCCCAGCTTCCTGGCTTCCCAATGCATACCCTCGAGCAAAGGCAAACAACCCGTAGAAATGGAGTATTCTGAATTTGCCGATTGAGCAATGTCCCATCTTGAGGTGGAAGGTATCTAACTCTAAAAAGCCAACAGCACTGTTGACTCCAACTAAGATGCGCAGGGCCCACCCAAAACAGTCTGGGTGGATCGCGGAATGATCTGCCGAGACACACTCGAGCACGGCCTGGGGGTCTTCCAAAAAACCCGCAGCCAACTAATTGAAAGGCACCCTGCTCAATTGTTCTTGCTGCACAAGTGCCTGCTAGCGTTTCCTAAGATCAGCTTGTACAGGGGTAGCTCACTGCCACCCCCTGCGAAATCGGGTACAAAAACCTATGTTACAACAGTGGCAACGGGAGGCTTTGGGCAATTCCTCCACCCTTCAGTCTGGGCAAGACACCCCCGTTTTCCATCCCCTAGCTTCTGCCAAATCATCGAAAGTCCCCGACATGATCGGCAACCTGGCATAGGGGTCTACCCCAAATCCAAAGCCTCGTGCCGCCTACCGGATTCGGGTTCAATGGCTGAGGCTATGGTCTTTCCTGGGCCTGCATGGGGGCTTTGGGGAGGGGGGGCGGCAGTCTATCTAACCACCCAACAGAAACTTCGGCTTATCCTTGCTTATCCAATCACCTCAACTCCCTCGCCCCAGGTCCACTCAATCAGTATGTTTCAGCAACATCCGTCATGTTCGAAGCACTCGAAGGTCCGGGTGCTCCCAAACGCGGCGACACCTCCCTTGGTCGCTGTTGACCCCCTGCAAAAAGTTCAACTTTTGCGGGGTTTAGTGGAAAACCCCTTGATTTCCAAAAAAAAGTTGTAAAGTCTAAAGATCCGTTGCCCAAGAGCAGAGCTCCGATCCCACCTCCCGGAGCAACGGCTTCTCGTCGGACAACTTCTTCAGCCCGTCGCCGGTAGCGTTGCCGGCCAAGGCCGAGCTCTGCATGCACTGCCCGCCTCGGGAGTTCCCGGAGAAATCTCCGCAACCAGGGCTCCACTGTTTGACTACCCCAAGGTCGACTTGAACCCTGCATTAACCCTTTGGCGGGAATCAACCATTTCTGGGTTTAAGTCTACCTTGTATTGTCACAAAGTGAAACCCTGCCGCAAACAGTTGAAGGGCATATAAAACCCACTGACAAACCGCTTTCGTGGAACCTTTGGCGATATTTTCGCGGCCACAGCGTTTCACTGTCGCTGGCAGGTTCTGATCCCTTTCGCGGAGCTTTCGCGGAGCTTTCGTTTTAGCCTTCGCGAGGCTTCGTTGGGAGAGGCCCTCAACTCACTCCAAACAAAATCTAAAAGGGCTTTTGGCGCTGCCCAATTGAATAATTGGTACCCACTTCTGCCGGCTAAAAGACAACAGCCTGGAAGGGCGATTCGCAAAGCCACCAGGACACACACACCAAAAAAAAGGGAAAAAGAACGAGAAAGCTCGACAATACGGGGCAAGTTGCCAATTCCAAACCCGAATAAGACGCAATTCCTCTCAAAATATGTTGCTGCAGGGGACCTGGGAAGAGAGCGCCTGCAGGTTTTTTCGTGGAATATTTGGGGCTCGTCCCCTGTCTGGACCTAGAGTACTGAAATTGTAACCGGCCCAAACGGACTCTCAAAACTGAGGGTGGCTCTGAAATTGAGGTCTTAATTTATGTTCAGAACTCACCCAAGCCTCACAAAAACGACACACCCACAGGAACCTCCAAAATCCCGAGTATCAAAGATGGCCAGTTCAAAATGGAGGGCTGGCCTTCCACTTATGCTTCAAACCCGTGAGCCAAGCAGTTCTTCAGCTCCCACTCACATACTTCCCACATTCGGTGACCATCCTTGGATAGACTGCTGCGCGTCGAACCCTTTGAGAGGTTCGCTAGGTCGTGAACTGGATTGTTGAATTGTTTTTGCAGCTTCTCGCATCAACATTGCCAGGGCTTCTGGTTTCCTTCTGAAACCAAAAGAAGTCCAGGACTCAACAAAGATTAGTCTCTCTTCAGCTTGACTTGTAAGACCGAACTTTGCTTTGCGCTAGTTCTTCCAACGTGGCAGCGAGATAATATGTGATGCTTGAGGATGTTGTACTCTGCTGTACGTGTTTGCAGTATCCTTTTATATATCTTTATGTACAGTTGCCTGGCAAACTCTGAATTCTGCGCAATGGAGAGCCATGCATTTTTGCGATATGTTTTTCCGAACGCGGTGGCTTGGCACAGCTGAGCCATTGCTTGTTGAGGACGTAGGCCGGCAACCAACGATTCCACGTACATGAGGCAAGTCTCCAGAATGGAAAGCGTATTTTCGCAAACAAGCTGCCACGAGATGCATTCCACGGACAAACCGCCGCAAGTCGCACGCGATCGCACGCGGCTGAAACCAAATAAACGACAACATTGACCGTGTGGCTCTGCGCTAAGCTTCGTGTCTGTAATTTGGTCTTGCCTTCTGCCGTTGGCCAGGTAAAGGCCGGGTTGGCGTTGAAAGTTGCAGGGTTTTGCAAGTAGCGCTCGCGGCGCAGCCGGCAATAGACCATGTCAATGCATCTCTCCTCGTGTAGCTTGGCTGCTGCGACGTTGTCGCAGGGAAGGAATGGAAGCTTCGCAGAGAAGGGGAGGCGACGAGGGTGACACAATTGTTTCCATAACAAGCTTCAGCGCAACAGCGTGCAAGCTTTCGACGGGGTTGAGCAGGTTTGTTGTGACCGTTCGAGCCGTTGGCCTGAGCTTTGAACGGCACTGCTCAGCGCGTGTCATCTTTCAAGTCAACATGACATCGCGCCACTTGTCAGCATTTGGCCATGGGTCAACATCCCGTACCCCCAGTGAACATCCCAATCCCCACTAAAATAGACTAAAATGGGTGGTGCACCTACCAACCAAAATGGGATCCCATTGGCTTCGACCCACAGCCATTTGACAGGCTGCGGCTGACAAAACGGCCGGAGCTTCTTTTCGCTTGGGTTCCATGCAGAGTCGGCAAACACTAAGCAAAGGGGTCGGCAGAGACTATGAAATGAAGGGAGGCAAGCGCATGCCGTGCCTGAAGCGGTGAACGTGAGAGTGCCTGGGTGTGCATGCTAACGCGGGTGATTTCGGTGTCACAAGATGTTACGGCAGATGGTAGAGTCGTCGTTATTGTTGCAATGAATCATGCTGCTTTCCAGCAAATTGATCTTTGCGCTAGCTCTTGCAGCACTACAGTAGCCTACAGTAGCTTGCCCCCGTTGTCCCTGCGCGGGTGGTCGTGCTACACACATTCCTGCTGGTTTTGTCAGGCGGGGCCTGCTATTCTGCTCCCACACCATGACATCAAAGTATGTTCTACCATAGAAAGACCCATTCTTTCCAGTGTCTTTGGACTTCTTGGAAAACTAGCAAAACATCTGACTGAAATACTTTCAAACCACCGGGCATAAGCCAAGTGGCCATTGATCATCACGGCTGGGATGCAGTTGTGGAAGCAGTAGCGCGCATAGTCCAGGGCGCTGCCAGGCTCTACGAATTGGTCCTCGTGGTCGCATCAAACCTTCTCCGATTCGTGCGATAGCTAGGGCCCGTGCGAGTGAACCCAAGCTTTGGTCCCCTTACAGGAAACCACCAGTTGGATACTTAGGGATGGCTTTGGGTCATTCCACCTCCTTCCCTGAGCACTAGCAAGAACTTGCACCTGACCAAATTGGTCTCGCGAGTCGAGTTTTGAGCCTCTTCAGTCGCCGTTTCTTTCTTTCTGGCAAAAGCTAAACGGGCACTTGCCAATGGGCCCCGTAAATCCTCGAACCATACACATGGTCATTCGCAGTCGGAGTGGCAAGGGACGCTTGGACTTGGCCAACCCACCCCGGACATCAGTCTAAGACCATTGGGCAGCAAGAGAAGGACCCCAAGGGGTGCCAAGCTTGCCGTCTGCGTGCTGTAAAGGTCGAAAAAGGGGGGGGTACCCCATTCAACCACCTTCTGAACAAAGCCCTGCACACGCTCGAAGCACTGGTGCTAAAGCAGCCCACAAGATTCCCCTGAAGGACACCTTTTCTCGCGTCTTGGTTTGCGGCAAATAGGTTTGACTATCTCGAAAATGCCCGACGCCCAATTTCCAGGGCGAGTTGACAGTGTGCGGTCCTCCTCCAACTTGTGCTTGCGATCACGGGCAACGCACTCGGTGGGGCATTCTTCGGTCGAAGGATTCGGGTGAACGCACTTGTGTGTCAGCAGCAACCTTGGCTAGCGTGGCCCATTCAACCCAAAGGCATTCATCTACTTTGAACATGAGCTAAAAAATCACCTCCTCAGATGACCCGCTGTGGGGTTCTCTGGGAGAAAGTCCCCTCGTCGCCAGCTCTCCCTGCCAAAGGGGGTGGGGAGTGTGTTGAACGCCGCAGCAAAGATTCGAAGATGCCGCTTGGAGCGCCAGTTTAAAAAACAACTGGCGACGTCTTTCAGAAGCCGCTCTGGGGACTTGCCCAAGCCGCACATCGGAAAAAACCTCCAACGAAGACCAACCCAAAAAGCGCAAACATCCTCAGTGCTCTTATTCCTGCAAAGCAACGGCGCCAGAAAACTGCACGAAAAAGAAAAGAAAAAACCTTTCATTGCCACAAGTCTAAGGCCGTGATAGACTTGATCGGATGCCACCCTGCGCAAATATATTCGCAGGCATGAAGATGTGTCTGCTCTCACCTCCAACACTGTTCAATCAAAGGTTTTGCAGATAAAGAAGTCGTCCAAAGAGATGAACGAACAAGCCTCCGGCTTGTGGGGGGCGGGGATGGGGCAAATTGCAAATCACCTATGGTCGTGGGGGACAGGGGTGAGGGACCAAATTGCAAATCACCTTAGGGGTCATGGGATTGGGGATAATGAAAAATGAGCCATGTCCCAATAACTTGCCATGATTTGCTTCGTTGCGTCATTTTGCTCACGCCTTGCTTATGGCTTGCGCGACTAATGGAGGTTTGGCTTACGCCACCCTACGCGCGTGGAGGTTTTGCTTACGCGAGGCGCACCTCTTGAGGGGCCGTGGGGGGGTCGAGCATGAGAGGAAATAACACACATTAGGGGGGCATGGGGTTGTCTTCGTCATCTGGGTGTTTCTCAACAATTGGGCAAGTAGGTGGTTTCCTTTTGGTTTCCCTTTAAAACCCTCCAGAAGGATCGCCAGTCGCTGCTTTTTTCCATCCACTTCACCCCAAAAACCAACAACAGTGACTGAAAACAGCCAGCAAAAACTTGGCTATCTAGGTAATTAGTTCCCAGGAAGCCCACCCCCCAAACTCCCCCAAACCGTGCAAAGGGGCCGGCCATCCGCCGAGCGCTCCAGCTCCTGGTCCAAGCGCTCCGTGGCCACGCAGCAGCCGCAATCGCAGCCCCCGAAGTCCTCAGGCGCTCGAAGGGACGCGCGCGGCTCGGGCGAGGCGGAGGCGAAAGACCACGGGAAGCGCCAGGCCACTTACACTCCCTCACATGGAAGCTGCCAGAAGGCCGATCCTGCAAATGGAACCAAGTCTTTTCAAGGGGTCTTGGGAGCTTGCATGTTAGTCTGAGGGCGCTCTTTGAAGGGCCCTTGTGGACCCTCTATTCTTCCCTTCGTTTCCTTGCTTGAAGAATGTGGGAATGAACCCAGGTTCTGGTCCCTGAAAGGGACACAATTGGATGGTTTACAAAGGTCATTCCAACTCATTGGGATACAAAGGTCCACGACCCACTTTTCAAGCGGCGCTCTAGTAAGGTAGGGAGGGAGTCTGTGAAAGGAAGGGTTTTGGGGTTTCAGGGCAAGCAAGTGCAATTGATCACTTCTCCCGTGCCCCTCGCCATGATATTTCAACCCAACCTCCACTGGGAACGGCTGGTCGGGGGCTCGGAAAGGCCACCGCAAAATATCTGCGAGCCGAGCTGCATTTACAGCTCTGCCCAGGAAATCCTGGGGAAAAATCGCGGCACTGGAGGCTCAACATGGGTGTAAATTTAAATAAGGGACCTGGTGGTGGACAGCATTTAGGTGGTGATTTATGTCCACCAACAACTTTCGGGGGGTGTCCCATTAAAATTCATAGCCACATTTGCGGGCAAAACATATGATGTGTATTCACCGACCATCCCATTGCCTCGCCGGCTGCCGCGAGCTTCTGAAAGATGCCCGGCTCCTTCTGCGCAGCCTCGAACAAGGAAACAAACAAACAAGCAAACAGACAGAGAGACAGAGAGACAGAGAGACAGAGAGACAGAGAGACAGAGAGACAGAGAGACAGAGAGACAGAGAGACAGAGAGACAGACAGACAGACAGGCAGGCAGGCAGACAGACAGACAGACAGACAAGCAGACAAGCAGACAAACAAGAGACAACACAAAACAAACCCAAAAAACACAAGCACTCAGACAAACACAAACCACAAAACACAAAACACAAACAGCAACACCAAACACAAAACAGCAAACAGCAAACAGCCAACAGCACACAGCAAACAGCCAACAGCACACAGCAAACAGCACGCAGGCAGGCATGCAGGCACGCAGGCACGCAGGCACGCGCCCACCCACCCCTGCCCAGCCACACCCACACCCACACCCACACCCACACCCACACCCACACCCACACCCACACCCACACCCACACCCACACCCACACCCACACCCACACCCACCCACCCACCCACCCAACCGCGCCACGCAGGCACGCAGGCACGCAGGCGTGCAGGCGTGCAGGCACGCAGGCACGCAGGCACACAGGCACGCACTCGCACCCGCACCCACACCCACACTAAGAAGACTCGCAGCCAGATAGATTGGAAATAGAAGATAGTCAGTGCTTTATCAGGGATTTATCCTGTGTTTGTCTCAGACAGGCTTGGCTATGTTCCGCCGGAGAAATAGTAGACTTACGAGCACCTAGCTAGGAAACGAGAAGATAGTTCGCTTTTTATCCTTTTTTTATTTTTAGTTATCCTGCTTTATCTTTTTCGTTTTCTTAATATTTTTCATATGTTTTCATAGTTTAGCTGGCACGCCGCGCGCATGTGTCAACTTTGCCAGCATTAAGAAGCGCAGCAGCTTTAATACTAATTCAGAGAAGCTGTCAGCCAGTCAGATGGCTGCTGAGAATTAGCAGCGCATACCTGTTTGGACTCTCGCCTCACTTGGATGAAGTCCTTTGCTCAAGTTTTTTCCTCGCGCGCACTGTGTCAGACGGCCACCTTTTTGGAGAAGTAGCAGCATTTATTGTTTGGATGCTCAGCCTGCGTTGCGAGCAAGTCCTTTTGCTCACAGTGGCATCATTTTACGGAATGCTCGCGCAGTCTGCGTGATTCAGCTTTCAGGAACTTTTTGTCTCGAGCTTGTCCAGCACGTTGCCTCAGCCTCGCAGTACTGCCTAGGCCAAGAAAGCGCCGAAGGCCGTGTCCTGCCCTCAAAGCGGCAGCAGACATGCTTGCGACCGTGGACAGCTCAGGACATTGGCGCTTTTGCATAGAGAGTTGGTGCCCGATGTGGTGACAGTGACCGTTTGATTTTGATCTCGGCCTCGTGAACCCATCAGAGCCCACGTGCCGCGTCTTCACGGCCCTGCTGTTGCTGAGCACGAGGATGGACCGGATCAGTTCGGCAGAGAAGTTGGAGTGCTGCACCATGCGCAAATCATTCTTGAAAAGGCACGCCGTGACCATGGGGCCAAAGACAAGTTCCCAAGAGCCGCGCCGATCTGCACCAGCGTAGAATGAAGGCTCCCAAGATCAATGTGATAAAATGTGATCAGTCCTAATTACAGCACATTGAAACCCAGCACGCAGAGCCAAGGCCTGCCAAAGCAAGCTGCGAAGAGTAAGGCTGCGTCTAAGCCAAAAACTACAGCGAAAGCAAAACATCTACATGGCCGAAACAGCCTACCGCTCGCAATGCGTTGCCGGCACGGCTTTTTCGTGAGTTTGTTGCGGGCTGATGCGAATGCCGAGGTCGTCCAGGACACACCCAGTGCCCGGAGGACCTAAAGCAAAATCCGATCTTTACAGATCTCCCCACTTTTTCCTGATTGCCAGAAAGCATGCTGCACGGCAATCAGGGCATAATATGTGGGATCGGACATGAGCTCCCCAAAGTAAGATTCGACCACGTGGACTTTTACGAGTCAAGCAACTGTTTCAGTGGTGCAGCGCTGTTCCGGGCACTTTGCGCAGTGCTGTTTCGGGCGCTTGGCGTAGGGCTGTTCCGGCTCTTAGCACCCAGAACAGCACTACCAAGCACCCGTACGCCAAGTATACCCGGAACAGGAACAGCACTACACCAAGCAGCCGGCCAGGCACCTGGAACAGCACTACACCAAGGAACAGCACTGCACCAAGCACCCGGAACACCACCACTGCAGCAGCACAAGCACCGGAATCGCGGCATCTTCCTCAAGGCGAGCGGTTGGTGCCGGCGCCATCTTGAAGTGGAGGTCGCTCCCCCGTTGCTTGGCAAAGGCCCGGGCCCCAGCACTGCCAGCAGCAGACGCTGCGGAAGGACCGCAGAAACTGCCTTGCAGCGCCCGTCCCACCCAGTCAGTCAGGCTCAAGCTCACATTGTGGTTCTGGCCAAATGCAGCACTCCCACTTTCGGAGTCTTCCGTATTTTTTGAAGCCGTCGTTCTTGCGTTCTGATTTTCTGTCCTAACGAAGCGCTCTTATTTTCGGAGCCTTCGCTCGCGGATTTCTATTCTGACCGAATGCGCAGCACTCTTAAAGAGTCTGTGACGCGATCAGCCATCGCAGAGAAAAGGTTCAAACAGCCTGGAAGCTAGGCGCCAAGGTTCCTGCGCCCGTCCTTGACAAACATGTGTTCGATGCTTGACACGGCCGGTTCGTTCGGAGCTAAACAGCTTGCGCACGAAGCCGGCTACGTAGATGTCCAGTTGCCGACGCTGCAATCAGCAGTTCAAGGCAAATGCCCCAAACCCTGCTTCTATGAGTCAAGCCAAGCCTAACAACCGTTGCAAAAAACTGTCAGCCTGGTGGCAAGGTGAAGCAATGGCCTCCAACCTGGCAGTGCTGCGGAAAAACCACTGCGCGTGCCCTTCACCATTCCTGCCTGGCGTGGCTCATGTCTGCCCAGCAATGCTTGGGCGCGTAGTTCTGCAAGAACCATAATCGTTTCGCTTCGCAGATCCGGCACTGTCTCTGAGCTCTTTTTTTCAGAAGGCGTTTGCTGCCTTTGATGCAGTTCGACCGCGGCCTGTCGACTCTGGAGCTGGAAACGCAGCGGCGCTAAACACACGACGATCCGCTGCACCACCCTGGCAAGTCACAGCGCTAGCGCCGTCGTAGCTATGATGCTTTCCTTCTCACGGTGCATGAGCTCTAACCGGCCACTGCTGCCTGCTACACCATGGAGCGAAAGCACCAGCTGATCAAGTCGAAGATCGCGCTGCAGCCCGGCAAGCTTGATAAGTCTGGCCCTGTCCTCCTGTCCGTCTGCTTGGCGCTAAAAATCTGAGATGACCCCCTCCGGCTTTCGCTGTCGCTACCGGACACTTAGTACTCGCCTACTATCTTATACCGGAGAAACCGCACGAGCCAGCAGCCTTTTGCTGCAATCCGCGCTAGCAGGGCTCTTGCCGTAAACCTCCAGAAGTTGGGGATCACAAAATGCGACTCGCCCAGGTCTACGAAGCGATCACTGCTTTCCGCAGTAAACAAAAAGACGGAAGGGCTGTGCTCGTCTCTCGTCTTGGCCGGCAGAAGGAGGAACTAGTGCCAGAGCGGCCTGTAAGCGGACAATAGGCCCAGCCAACCCCTCACCCGCAGCAAATCTCCCGCAGCTCGGCTATCTACTTAGTTTCTCCTATATCTGCACCATCTTGCCACGAGGCTTCTTCGCGCACACACACACACCCACCCACACCCGCGCACGCACACGTGCACGCGCACGAACACGCACACGCACACGTGCGCGCACACACACACACACATCAGCGCTCAACAAACCACACACCACACTCCCCACACGACACCAACACCAACACCAACACCAACACCAACACCAACACCAACACCAACACCAACACCCACCCACACACACACACACACACACACACACGCGCGCACACACACGCACCCACGCACCCACGCACCCACGCACCCACGCACGCACGCACGCACGCACGCACGCACGCACGCGCACGTGCGCGCACGCGCGCACGCTCACGCGCACGCGCACCCGCACGCGCGCACGCACACCCACACACCCACACGCACACGCACACACGCACACCCACACACCCACACACACACACACATACACCACCGCGCCACACCGCACCACACCGCACCACACCACTCCACATTACGCCACGCCACGCCAACACATGCACAAACGCACCAACACACACACCAAAATACACACACCAAACCACACCACACTAGATATAAGCATCCCCCAGTAAAGGAGCTTCATGGGTGAGCCCATTGTATCCCCAAATTGGTGAGCTCGTCAGAATTTGCCCATGCCAAATTGGAGCAAGTCGCTGCGCTCAGCACGAGGAGCAGCAGCCCTGGGCGCAGTATTTGTATAAAACTCCAAACTTGTTGCTTGCCTCAATGGTCTTAGCAAGTGCAAAGTCCATGAACTCGAGTGAGAGATCTACCCTTGCAATAGTTTTTTCTGCTTGGATTTGCAAGTACCTGTCCGGTTCTGCTGAGTGGGCTGTCTCTCGTGCAAGCCCAACTGAAAAGATTCGCTGGTTCTCTGGGCAAGCCGGAGGCCATCCGGTTTGGCCTCCTGCGAGATGGGGGGGGATTCGGATTCGGGAACCATCGAAGCTGAGAATGGGCTCCAGCGTTGCCTGTTGAAAGGCTGCCTTTCATTTCCAAGGAACCGCTTGAACAGATTGCAGGCCCAGACCAACCGAGAGCAACACGGCAAAACTGCCAAACCAGCGCATGTGTCTTCCCTCTCAAACTGAATCTCACGAGAAAGTCTTCAACCACCAACTGAATCAGAAAAACAACCAAGCAAACTCGGTTGCTTTTTGCTCCCCTGCCAAAAGTTTAACGTTTAGCGGTTTAATGGCAAACCCATTGGTTGGCAAAAAGTTTTAAAGTCCTGACATCCCTTGGCAAAATGCACCTCTGACAAATCAGGCTTGCCGTGGGCCAGTCCAGCCTCTGCCTCCTTGGCACCTCTGCCCGCAAAACGACCACCCGGCCCCAGACCCCCAGCGGCGGCGCCTATCTGCATTGTACCTGACGGGAGGCGCCACCTGTCAAGCCCCGAGCCGGCTCGTGGGGTCGGAAGAGATTGAAGTCTTGAGGCTCCCTTTCAGGGTGGCTTGAACTAAAGCGAAACCACGAAACAGCACGACCATTGTTTGCTTTATGGCATGTTTGTTTACTTGTTGTTATGTTTTTTTTTTTGGGGGGGGTCCCCTGTTTTTGACACATACCCACTTGAAACCCTCAAGCTGCCCATAAAACAAAGATTGGGCTTGTTCCCATAATTGTTAGGGCAAGTATCCTATGTTAAAGAGGAGTTTGAGGGTCAAGGCCCCCTATTTGTCGCAACCATATGGATTTCAAATACATGCACAACTGGCAGACTTTGCCGGGTGACGGGAGATGGCACGAGGCCCTTCATGTGGGTAATTACGTAAAGGATGATCAGACCAAAAGGGGGTTGTGCCATCTACTTTCACAGAGATCCTTACACTATACACCTGAACATCGCCTTGTCAATGGTGGTTTCCCTGTATTTTGGTGGAAAAAGCCATGTTTCAAATGGGCAAAAAGTATCTTTTAAGGAGCCCTGAATCACTGAATTTCACCTACTAAATAGAGCACCCTAGCCTTGGGTTATGTAACCGCTCCAACAGGCGTCCATGTCCAATGCAAGGAATGCTAAATGTCAAGGCATTTCAGAGAACTGGTCCTGGGGGACCCCCATCGGTTGCTGTTCACTTTGGTTTCTTTTCTGGTTTGGCGCTTGCGTGCAGAAAAATGTCAGATCCCCTGACGGTGATTTACTGCCTTAATGGCGACGTGTCAAGGGAAGGATGAAAAAAGTCGCCTGCCGAGGGCAAGAAGAACCGAAGGCATGTAAAGGAGTATCAGCCTCCGTCTAATTGGCGGCTTGGAGCCCGGTGGCTTGGTGGTTCAGGAGGAGTTTCTCATGTACATTCTACAAGAACCAGGGGTTCAACAGGGGGGCTGAAAACCACGAATTCTCCGCCTTGGGTGTCCTTTCGGGCAAATAACGATCAGTTTAGCACCCAAACACGGCACCCAAACCCCAGAAAACCGCGCTCGCCCGCTGGCCTCCCATCGGCCCAAACGGCGGCTCGAGCCCAGCCAGAACGGCGGCAAATGGCAGCAGGCCCCCTACATGCAGAGGGCTTCCTGTGGCTTCTCCTTCGGGGTCCGAACCCCGTTTTGAGACACACACGCACGTGTATGTGTGTGTGTTCTTTGGTGTGTGTTGGTTGGTGTGTGTGTGTGTTGGCGGGTGTGTTGGAGTGTCTTGGTGTGGCTGTTGGCGTGTGTGTTTGTTTGTTTGCTGAGGGTACCTTTTTGGGTAGTTTTAAGGGACGCCAAAGGGAAACTACTTTGACATGGGTATGACCCACGGATTTGCAGGTGTGTCACCCACCTTTCAAAACGAATCCCTGGAAAAGACACTTCCGCAGTATGGGGGTGTGCGAAACCCAGACTGCTAAAGTGTTTGGCGTACGGCTCCCTTTGTTCCTAACAGGATCCCGTGAGGTGACACCAAACACATTGCCACCTAGATCAACTGCAACCTAGTTTTGCAGGCGACGCCTGAAATACAAGACGGACCTATGTTCAGCGCCTTCCGAGCTGAAGCGATCAACCCCAGAACACCCCCCACAAATCAAGTTCCTCCTGCAAGAAAGCTGAGAGAGACTGTATACTCAGTTGCCCAAAGGAGCCGTAAATAAAAGGTGAGCAGTTTTTGGGCCAAAAGGAGAGACACTGTAGCCGAGCCTGTTTCCCCAGCGAGACTCTGCAGCATGCATCTGTTGCTTCTGCAGCAGTTCTCTCGTCACAGCAAAGGACAAAATCAAGCGAAAAGATGCGACACGTCCTTGAGTGAAAGTGCCTTTTTGCTAGAACACGCCTGTCCTTGGCAACACTGGGCTGGCAATGTCGCTCAATTGGAATCGCTGTGAACAGAAGAAACGCCACAGCGCGCACCACATCTGCTGGCTGCAATCGATCGCTTCAGATCAAACCGCCGATGGTTCGCGTCGGTTCACGCAGTTCCCATTTGGCGTGCGCAGCCAGCAATGGGCCGGAAAACTCTTGACATGCATATCGAAAGTATGCAGTTCTGTCAAATGAGAGGCAGGGTGGCAGCTACTGCGAGAGCTGCTGAGAAACTTTTTCTGTTCAACTTGTCAAGTACAATTCAACTCGTCCAATACTGCCCGATACTGGCCTCTGAGTTGATGTTCTCTGTTTACTTCAAGTTCATGCTGCTCGAAAATTGATGTTCAGGTACGTATTGTATCTATTGCTATTATGATCAAATGCTTATCACAATAGCTGAACTCCAAGCCCGCAAATCATCTCTCTTACTCGAGTCAATTGCAGCACAAGTCATGCCAACAGAACGTGTCCCAGTCAACTCCTGCAGTCGCCGTACAGCTTATGCTCGGAAAGTGCTGCCACACAAGCCAAGGCTCACGCCAGATGCCCCTCCGCCTTCCAGCTCATAGCTTTTCCACCTCCCTCTCAGGTTGGGCTGCGCGGGCATCTGGCAAGGCTCCCAAAGGCTTCCTGTGCCTCACCAGAACCAGGTCTTACCTCACGCGGCAAACACTCGAGCGTACGACAGTTTTCCGTATGAGTGCAGCCCCAGTCTTGCATTGAGTGATGCCCGCCCCTTCCTACATCGAACATGGACTGCAAGTTGGAGCACACTTTGCTTGGCTGGGATCAGAAGCTTCCGGGTGCCAAAGCCCAAGTAGATTCCTTACAATAATTTACCCGCAAAAGCACCTTCCCCAATGTGACCGAAGCGTCAGTACCCAATCCCTCGAGGTCGCAGTGTTCTTCGCCCCTATGGGTTTGTCTCCAAGAGGGGCAAGCCCTATTCGTCTCTCCCCCATCGGCCGGGTTTCCCTAGCGGTTCAAAGGCCTCTTGGATCCTTGGACAGGGGTCACTGGATTTCCCCCTCAAAAGCTGCAATTTACTGCTGGTGTCCATTGAAACTGCCACTTTTGGAGGTCTCAAAAAGGGGAATGGAGGAAACCCTGTTGGATCGTGCGTGCTATGTCCAGAAGAACTCCGGCAGTCGCGTGCTTCCTCGGGCCATCTGCCAAGTCGGGTTTCGAAGAACAGCTTGCGTTGGGAAGCTTTGAAAGGGAAACCAGCGAAAATCAGCTTCCCTCTAGTTGGTGGTTTGGTTTGGTGATTCGGACGTTATGGGGCACCTTTCCCATTTGGCAAAAGCAACTGGGAAATCCAAATCCAAATCCAAACCGAAAAATCCACTCCACCAAATAAGGGTTGCCTCAGTAAAACCATCCGCCTGAAAGGGTCGCCAAGTTCAAAGACCAAAACCCAGTGCTGGTCGGTTTATCTCCCCCCTGACTCACGCGTTGGACCATCCCCCATTCGTTGGGGTCGCATTGACGCTAGACGAATAAGGAGAAATGGCACTCGTGCACCGAGTCTTGGCGCCAAGAACCACTGGGTACACCAGAACTGAGATTTGCTCATGCTGTTTCAAGGTCAACCCTAAAATATGTTAACAACATGCATCTGCACCTATAACAATAAGAAAAACCTCGGAGCAAACCCCCGACCCCCGTGGGAAAAGATTCTACTTTGATGTAGAGCGAGTCCCTGTTCTCCGGAGGGGTGTCAACAGGCAAACGATGCTTGCTCTCTCTTAAGCCTTCACATTTGCCAAGCCTGCAGAATGTGCGGCTGGGTGCTACAAGCTACTAGGTGCCATTTCTGGCCCTCCCCCAAACTGCCAAGCATCTGTCTTGTCTGTCTTGGTTAACTTAAACACACACGGGCATGGCGTTTGACACTACCTGCTGGCAGGGGAATTGGTTCAAATTGCGCTTTCCTTCAGACACAATCGAAGAAAGAAGCCGTCAGTTCCGACCGCCTGACCCACCTCTCGTCAGCCAAGCTGCCGGTCGGCACATGTTGCTGCCATCTCAGTATCATAGCTGACCCATTCGCAGTCCCAAGTCAAGTTGGATTTGGCGACCATAGGATAGGTTCAAGGCTATGATTTGTGCGGATCTGCACTCGGCGCCGAAAGGAATGAATTCCTCGGCGGAAGTCAAAGGAAACTCGGAAACGATCAAACCAAGGAGGCCTGCGACGCGAGTCGTGGGCACTCAACCGGTGCGGCAGCAATGGAAAACCTGATCCTGCGTGCCATCTTTCGAGAGGCTGACGCACCGGAAGAAACTAGGAACATCATTTGGAGATCAAACATGCGCAGGCAAAAATGCCTGCTGAATCGATCGCAGCAACAATCCGAGAGACTCAAGGCTTGAGCTGGAAGATGCGTATGTTTCGGGAGAAGCTGAGGATCGTCAGCCTTTAGAAGCCTGAAAAACTGCAGGGGAACGAATTCCAGCAGAAATCCTCGCACTTCAAACGGGAAGCTATGCGCTGGGATTCAGAAGGAATCAGGTGGCGGTTGCTTAGAAGCAGATTGCAACTTCACACAGCCTACAAGTCTAGGTGCAGTTCTGCAGTTCTCAGACTGCGAGCAAACTGTGGGAAGGACTGAAGGAAGGACTTGGCAGGGTTTGCCAAGCTCGAACTTGATGGACCTTGAACATGCCAAACAAGCCTACCAACAAACAGTTCACATAGTACCTTCCCAGAAAGTGAGGAAACATGGCATGAACTAAACAAAAGAGGCACCTATTGGATTGGAAGGAAGGCACGATTCTTTGTAAAACCACGAGCCAACTTCTAACTCCATCTGAGCTTCTCCCGAACGCCTCGGGCGAGCTCTTGCGGCCTCTTCGCAATCGGAAACGCGTGGCACCCAACGCCGTTAGGGCAGAGTGCACATCTGCCCCAAATCACCCGGCTCGGCGCATTCTGCATCCTCTCCCTGCCCCACTTGTAAGAGAAAGAAACATCGTCCAGGATCGTGATGGGTGGCCTTGCTCAAGGGCAGCTTGATGTTGACCAAATGAGCAGCCAAAATGAGGATGATCGTCAAAAAACCTTGGAACATGAGTCCCGCGCCCTGGTTTTTGCACCACTCCCAAACCCCCCCTTGACTGGATATCTTGACCGAATCTGACATGAGCCCGAGCCATGGTTTAGCGCACGTGGCTGCTGCGTGTGGGTGGCCCTTGCGCACATGACCTGGACATCTGGAGACATCTGCACCTTGCTGGAAAAAAGTTGCTTTTTCTTTTCGGGGATTCCTTCTTGTGGCATGGCCGATGTGCAAGGAACACCCGTTTTTTGGGTGAGCTGCAACTATCATGCTAGCCAGAGATGGCAATTAGCAATTACACCCGCGCATTCAAGCAGGCAGGTCCGGAGCAGCGCATCAAGGCGTATTCAGAAGCAATGTTGTCTTTCTCTTTTTCTTCTGTTTTCTGATCTGAACTGGTTGGCTGAAAAAAATACAGCTTAAGAGAAACACGTGTTCCGATCTTGAAGAACCTAATGCAACTCGAGCTAAGTTCACAAGTCTGGAGAGCTTCGTCTCCCAGCCTCTGTCCCTCTGCTTGCCTGTTTCGTGGCGTCTAAAGCGTGGGATCCAAAAGCTGTCTGGTCGCCGGCCCACAGCTTATTTCCAAAGCCGGGATATCAGACAGCCTGACAAATGCATCACACGCTAAGCCGAGAAAGCAGTGAACCGCGTTCATCTTGCCATTTCTGTAGCTCCAATTCTTGTGAGTCAGGTCATGGAAAAAGCTCTCTCGGCACGAACCACGCTCCACGCTCCAAAAGATATGCGCAGCAAGCAGCAGACAGCCAAGTGACGCCAGGTCTGCTAGAAATGCATTGGCCAGGCGACTCAGTCTTAGCCGCGCGTCGCATCCAGTTGAAATCATTCAAAGAAGGATATGGACAACGTGCCTCAGCTAAGGCACCATAGGCCACAAGCCAACTGTCCCAAAGCATGGCTTGAAGAAAATCGGCTCGTGGGCTCGCTGGGCACAGCTTGGGGGCGTCAATCACGCCCCTCTTACAGCCAATTCGTATTTACATTGCCGCTCGCTGCGGGACCTTGCAAAGAGTCAGGCGGAGATCGGGAGGGTGGAAGCGGCTGGCTTCACGGATTTCCTTGAGGGCAGCCCTCGGGTGTGAAGGAAAGCCAAGGGGAAACCAACCCAGTCTTTGGGTTCCATGTTTTTGACCAGCCTACACAAAATGTTGCCAGGAGAAAGGTTCTAGATCTACATGCTTCAGTTTGGAGTTTTGATTCCTGAAGGCCAATGAGCTCTTGGCTGCCAACAGGAGGAGTTTGCCGACCGCTCAATTCCCAAAGTTTTATCGCGAGCATACAACTTGCGCAAGATCCAGCCTGAGCGCACCAAAGAGATTGGAACTCCGAAAAGCCTTTATTGTCCTGTGTCCGCGTTTCAATGTCTGTGCAGGCGGCCAAGTGTGCGAGTAGGTGTTACAGTCTGTGTGAGTTTTTGCCTGTGCCTGTGCATGCGATTGGGCGTGCGTGCACGCATGCATGTGCTTCTGCGCATGCTTGTAAGTGCCGTTGTATGTGCGTCTCGCTTAAGGTTGTACCACTCAAGTGTGCAAGAGGGCCGACAGCAATCACTCAAACCTTCTCTGATACAAGGAGCCAGGTAAACCTACATTGTCTCTGGCGGGGTGGGCCTGTTGCTTGTCGTACTCGGCAAGCCAAGCAGGTTTTTGCGACGCGGCACTTTCTGGGCCAAAGGCTGGCTGGCAATAGCCCGTGTTGGCGCTCAGGAGTCCTTAAACAAACCAAAAAAGACCCTGCTTTACAAGGGCATCCTCTAAAACAGCTGATAAATGGGTGATGTTTCAAGTGATCCAAATATATCATGTCAGTCAGGGTTGTACCCAAACGTAGACTTACAGTAAATCCAGTGGCGGTTGATCTCAAAAGGAGAACCTCCGGTTTAAGTCTTCTCCGGGAAACAATTGGAACCCTGCCGTCTCTGTTTCGACCAAGGTGTCACCACGTCTGCGTCTGCTCGGGTCTGCGGCAACCAGCGCACCAGCACCACACCACGCGAACGAGTCAAACCACCAAAGAAGAGAAGCTTGGATTGTGGCCTAAAGAGGCTGGGCCTTCCTTTGCAGTAAGGGGTTGACCGGTTCCTCCTCTGAACTGGAGAGGTCTTGAGTCAAGACCTATGGATTTACAGTGGTTTCACATGGGTCCAGAACGCTCCGAAGACCTGATCCGTACAAATCCGGACAAGGGTCACAAGATTGGCGGGGAACACGGAAGGGAATCATTGTGCAAAAGGGAAAACGAAAAGAAACAGTTCTGGAAAGGGATGGCCAAAGATAATAATTTCAGATCTCTCCCGTGGTTTGACTGCCTGTAACTGGGCTGTCCAAAAAGGGGGAATCCCTAATCACATTGTGGGACACGAATCTGTCCCTAAAAAAGACAATGCCCTGTCGCCCCAAACAAACTGATTGTTGAATACTCCCGTGTCTGACAGAAGAATAAAAAAGATTGATTGAGATCTGAATTTCCTGCGGCCAAGGCTGTGGTGGACATGAGCAGGTGGACTTGTGCCCATTTGTCATAGGGAGTATTCCCGAATGAAAAAGTCGTAGCCATTTGGGCTGGTGTTTTTTGACGGTACCCTTTTTGGGGTTAGCTTACAGCGAAACCGAAGGGAAATTCACCATGTTGACGTAGACCTACATGATCTGCAATGGTTACATGAATTTCACAATAAACGCGTTAAGAGAGAGAGAGGGAGAGAGAGAGAGAGAGAGAGATATATATATATATGTGCACCCCCCCCCCCCCAAAAAAAAAGAAAAATAAAAATAAGCTCAGGTGATATCCCCAACAGCATCGAACAGCATGCGGTGCTCTCTTTGGTGCTCGCACCACCCCGCAGCCCTCGCAGAACCTCGTGGAACCCTCGTGGAACCCTGGTGGAACCCTGGTGGAACCCTGGTGGAGCCCTGGTGGAGCCCTCGTGGATTCTTGGTGGAACCCTCGTGGAACCTTACCTCAGGGCCGCCCCGGACCACCCCGGAGCCTATCTGGGCTGAGACCCCAAAGCTTTCAGCTGTTGGGGAATAATGCGCCGGCTACTTGTGCAAGGGAAGTCAGGTCATTTTAAATGGGTGCTACCAGAAGTGTTTTTTGACAATGTTACAATGTTCGCAAACTTGCACAAATGATTCATTAAGCCTTTGAACCCATGTGAGTAGTATTTGCCTCTGTTTTCTGAAGCATGTTTGTGGCTTTCCTCACATTTCATACATCTTCTGGTCATAAACTAAATTTGCTCCAACACAAGACAGTTTGGACGTAGAATAAGAAGCAAAGTTAGCACAGTGTAAAATCGAAACTAGGTAAAGCGTCATGATACACGGGGCCGAAGCCACAATACTTCATACATACATCTCTGAAGTTTTTGAAAATTTCAGCTTACTGTATTATATCTCTGCGGGAGTACCGGCGCAAGGGTATCAACAAAGCAAACATGCCTCTTCTGCTTCGCCTACGCATCTTCGATTTCTCATCAGTCTCATCTGAATTGATGCGCAAATCCTATCTCTCATCTCAACTCATCTGCAGATCCCCTTCGTCTATCAGCTCACAAGCCTTGGCCAATACCCAAAAAGACATCTGCTCACATCTTATATGCCTTGACCAATCCCACGCTGTCTGCTAAAACAACTGATTTCCCTGAACGACATCTGTGCTGCACAATAACTACTGAGGCGCATGCAACACACTGGTATTTACAGTGTTTCTTAATATCCAAGGGTCGGCGTGGACTTCTTGAAATCATTCAAGAATTTGATTATCCAATGTCCCGCACACGGTTCCAAAATAACTATAAAGAACAAACCAAAAAGGAATGACTGAAAGCAGACGCTATTCGGATATAACATTCAAGTCTCCCAGGACTATGGTTATTGAATTTTGAGCCTAGTATGGGCCCCCCACAACGCTTTAAAGCGCTTTAAGACATTTTTGGGCCGAAGATTCAAGATTCAAGATTCCCAGAACTTTCGATCTTGAATCCAGTATGGGGCCCCCCCCCAAAGCGTTTTACAGCGCGCTTTGATCTAAGGTTCTTGAATCCAGCCTGGGGCCCCAAAACGCACCAAGACAATTTCATCCCGGTAGCGCGTGGATTAAGAGTCCTGGGATAGGCAGGATTTTAATGATTCCAGATCTAGTCCTGGGAACCTTGAATCTTGAATCCAAAGTGCTTCAAAGCGTTTAGGGGCACCAGGCTGGATTCAAAACTCCAGGTCTAGGGTTGGGAACCCTGAATGTTGAATCAGAATCCAAAAGTGCTGTAAAGCGCGTTAAAGCGTCGTAGGTGACTTGAGGTACAATCAAACTATGCTTCGGAAACTACCACTGCTTCGAAAACCATGGCCTGCGGGCAAAGCAACCCTGAACCAGCCCTAAACGAATCCTAAACCAGCCATAATCCAACCATAACCCGAACCCTAAACCAACCCTAAGCCAACCCTAAACCAGCCCTGAATCAGCCCTGAACCAACCCTAAACCAAACCTAAACCAGCCCTAAACCAACCCTAAACCACCCTAACAACCCTTACTGCGGAAGTTCTTGAAAACTTTGTTTGGAAGCGAAGCGACTTGTGCAGCGCGTTACAACATGTTTGAGCAACCAAATAAATGCGCGTCAGTCTGGCCACATTCCAACATGTGCCGCAATAGTCTCCGGATGCTGTTTCTGGGGCACACGTGAAACCAGTCAATGTGACAATGTGCAACAAAACTCGAAGCTGGGCCTTCTCGCCCGGCTGCTTTATCGATCTCAAAGAACCCGTGAAGCAAACTTAGCAAACGACGGGATACAGACTCTAGACTCTCTGCTCACAAAAAACTTCCGGCTGAGACTTCGTGATTTGGCAGTCTTTGTGGGGTTCACTCCGCTCGGAATGAAAAAGTAAGCGCTCTGCTCCGGGTCGAAGCAGAGCGTCTTGCAAATAAGGCCGCCACACACCAAAGATAAGGTGGGAAAAGTAAAGCTACGACCGATCCAAGGCACCAATGTGCGAGCGGCCCTGACACGTTCGGTGGTCTGCGAGATGAAATTCCACTCCAGGCCATACGCCCGAAGCTTGGCGAGCCTATGCCTCATGCAAGTGACTTGGTTTTCCGGAGTGTCTGCCGGCAAGTCGGCAACCCTATTGGCCAAGTCCGCGATCTTGGCCAAGTAGGCCTTGTAGGAGGCGACCAACTGCGGGGCAGTCAGCGAAGGTTCTCCAACCCCTAAACCAACAGCGCTAAACCACCTTCCAACCCTGAACAAACCCCAGACCAGCCCAAACCCAACCCTAAACCAACCTTAAACCAACCCTCAACCAACCCTAAACCCTAAGCCAACCCTAAACAAAACCCTAAACCAACACAGAACCAAGCTCTAAACCAACGGGGGTTTTGTTTCTAGCGCGAAGTTTCTGAAGCGTAGTTTCTGAAGCGCATCGTTTCTGAAGCGGGTAGGTCCGAAGCGAAGTTTCTGAAGCGGGGGAAGTTTCTGAAGCAAAGTTGCTGAAGCGGGATAGTTTCCGAAGCGAAGTTTCTGAAGCGGGGACAGTTTCTGAAGCGAAGTTTCTGAAGCGAAGTTGCTGAAACGCGAAGTCTGAAGCGGGATAATTTCTGAAGCGAAGTTTCTGAAGCGAAGTTGCTGAAACGCGAAGTCTGAAGCGGGATAATTTCTGAAGCGAAGTTTCTGAAGCAAAGCTGCAAGCGGGATGGTTTCTAAAGCGGGGATAGTTTCTGAAGCGAAGCTTCTGAGACAAAATTGCTGAAACGCGAAGTTTCTGCTGCGGGGATAGTTTCTGAAGCGAAGTTGCTGAAGCGGATTTCTTTCTTATATCGATCAGGAGATCAAGTGGCCAGAAGCAAGGCCTGATTGAGTTGGGCAGTATGAGAAGTTGCTTGCGTAGCCCTGACTGCTTAAATCTGCCCGAGAAACTCCATACGCCGACCGACTCTTGGCTCAAAAGAGAAGAGTTGTGTCACTTTGGGCGTTTGTCCATCGGATGAGATGCAACATGGGACACACACACACATTGCTTGCGGGATGGCTCGAACCATTGCACAAATATCCGCGAGACAAACCATCAAATAACTGACAAACTGCCTTAGGTGCAACAGTACTGTAAATACCGTCAAACTCTCTTGGGGCATGTTTTTTTGGGGGTCCACACATATATATATATATATCTATATATCCGCCAACATTGCGGAGGCGTGTCGGATACTTAAGAGAGGATAGAGGACAACCACCCCCCCAAGTCTGATACGCAAGGGTTTGGGGGGGGGAGGGCGGAGGAGGGGAAGGGGGGTCTTTAACGTACTGCGCGGCAATCTGGTGACATTCCACTAAACATAGTCTTCGGGGAGCTGGTGTCGCAAAACAGGGTCCCAAGGCTCGAATCCCCTGCCGGCTCTTTGCTGGTTCGGGTTTTCTGCCTCCCTTTGCCGAAAATCTGGAGAAAGCTCTATATGTTTGACATCCTTTTTGCGAAAACGTGGGAAAACCCGTGTTGATGTTTTTTTTTCCGGAAAAATACCAGGGAGCGAAGGGAAAATGCAAGAAGTGCCGGGAAATGAGGGGAGGAAACAAAATGGCAGGAAAGCAAGGGGAAATGAAAGGGAAACGAAGGGGAACTGAAATGGACGTGAAGGGGAACTGGAAGGGACATGAAGGGGAAAGAAATGAAAACAGGGGGAGTGAGGGGGACTGCAAGGCAAACAAAGGAGAAGAAAACCAGAGGACACGAAGGGAGATGTAGGGAAGGAAATGACTGGCAATGAAAGAAAGGGACACACATGGAAAATGAAGCGGACATACCGAGAAAATGACACTGACATGAAGGGGGAATTGAAAGGAATGGAAGGGGACAGGACGAGGGCATCCTCGAAAAATGCCGAGACATGAAAAGGACACGAAGGAGAAATCAAGGGAAAGCCAGTGACGCAATTCAGGGGTCATGAAGGGGCAGTGCACGGAAATCGAGGCAACTGAGGGGGGACGTGACATGACGCTGCAATGCAAACAGAGAGAGAGAGAGAGGGAGGCTGTGGCTCAAAAAACCGCTACCAAGATGGAACCCCGATTAGTCGAAACATGAACCAAAACCTGCGTTTTGCCCCTCCTGTTTAATGTTGAGCCACACCAATGTATACATATATATATATAATATTAATTGTTTAAACAGAGTTCCCCACCCAAGAGAGCTGGGGGCGCCCGGCGGTCTGCCCGCCCAATCGAGCAGTCCCTAGTGCAGTGCAGGGCACTGGCACATCCTGAGCTCAATTGGTCAGAAGTCCTATGAATTTGTCGGGGAACCCCAACATATGGGTCTGAATTTGACCAGGGGCCCTTTGATTTACATCATTAAGGTGGGGATCCCAGTCCAACCACTTCGGAGGGGGTTCTCTATTAAGGTTCATAATCATATACTTTGGAATCTTCTCAAAATCCCCCCCCCGGCCCGTTTCCGGGATACGCGTGACTGCTTGAGCCCAATTTTGGGTAGACCAAAACGGTCAACAGTGGTTTTTCCTGGAAGCGGGTTGGTTTTGGAGCCTTGCTTTGATGCGGTTTTTGCCTGGTTTTTGTTGGTATTCGCAGATTCTCTATCACAAGTGGCCTGGCTCTGGGTCGGACCTTGGGGCGCTTTTGTGCTTTGCCCCAAATGAAGGGCAAACAGCTCCTATTCGACCCTTTTCTCAAGGGGAAGCTGGTCTCAAGGACACCAAAAGGTGACAATACCTTGGTTACACCAGTACCTCTGTGGATTGGTGGTATTTCAGAGCAACCCGGTCCGAGCTTCAGCATGTGTACGGACAAATATGAACCCCCCCCCCCCCCCGCCATCACCCACAAATTTCAAAAAGGCCTTTGGTTTTCCTTAGCCACCGGGGTATGCTCAACAAACACACCCATGAAGCGATTAAGCATCTTCCTTGCCCGCCCGTGACTGTCGCGGCAGCAAAGCTAAGGCGCTTCTGGGCTTCGGATTCGCAGCCGAGCAGCCAAGAGTCTGGCGGATCCTCCGAAAAATAGGTGTTGCCTGCGCAGCGGGGAGCGGGATACAGGGATGCTCCTATTCGACCCAATGCCCACGAAGGTAGAAATATGGTTTCCGGAAGGAAGCAAGCATCGATTCCCAATTCTACCAAAAATCAAAAACGGCTCTAGAAGACCTGCAACGGGAATGCAGAGGTCCAACCGCCTGGCCTTCTAATTCAATGGATGAAGACTCCCAGGATTTTCGACTCGAGTTCCAAGAGGACCATGGAAAATTGAGGCCCGCTCCGGCCCTGATTCGCAGGATTGCGCCCTCCAACCCCCTGTGATCCTCCCCAAAAAACAAGGAGGCCAACCTGAGCCTCCTCGTGGCTGAAGTCAAAAAGCACAAAACACACGCGAGGTTGCTTGCGGACTTGTTTCTTGTCAGCCGCTGAGCCAGCCTGTCGCCTGAAATTCTTTGCCCTAAACATCAAACAAGCTGCGCCCTGTCCGTCAGAAATGGCGCCCAAGATGGGGCTTTCTCATAGAGGCCGCGGAAGGTTACGCGGAATTTGGTCCAGGGCTTACCTCACGTTCCGAGGTACTGAGTGGTCATGGTTAAACATGCAGGTTGCTACACATGTACGGATGCTAGCTAGGATGTGTTGGACGTTTCTCAGGTGGGAACCGAACGGCGCTAGGTCTCTGGCCTCAAGAAGAGCCCGCGGAGCCAGAACGAGAGCGCGCACCGATTTGCTGCGGCCTCAGGGACTCGTGGGCAGATCTCAGGGTGGCAGCGTGCAAAAGCGCAGGCGCCCTAAACAAACCATAAAGCCAGAAACTGGCTATGAGAGCCGGAATTGACATGATCCCACATCTTCCCGGGTCAAAATCTTCCATCTGCCTTCCCCAGTCCCTCTTTCTGACGCACAAAGCGCCCGCTTTCGGAACCGCTCGAGGCTGGTGGTAGGGCCACACAGGTTCCAGTTTGGCAACTTCTCAACGAGAGACACTGATTTTAGTCAACGCCGCCCCTGTTTTGGAGAAAGCGAAGGTGAAATGGAGGTCAAAACCGGCTTGGTGTCTGAGAAAACAGGGTCCCAGAAAAGCAGCGAGCCAAATTGGGCCAAGTCTACCAGAGGCACCGGCAGAAGATGTTGCTTGACACGAGCAGGGCTGTGCTTGTCATCGTCCTGCCGGGTGACAATCCTTCGCTTCCTACACCCAGTGGATCAATGGCTTGTCATCACTACTAGATGGTGCCTACAAGTGCCTACTGATCTAAACTGTTTACACTGCAACAAGGTGGGATATTCATTACGACTAATCAATCCATGCGGCCGCAAACAGTTTTTTTGTGGGATAATGAAGGCGAACCTCCCAAAATGGCCAGTGCATTCAATGTATATGTTTTTTTTAGGCCCAGCCGACATGCTCACCTCGTTTCCAGTTGCGACCCGCACATCAGATGTCCCAAGCCCCGCTTCTCGCATGACCCGTCCTCCGAGTCGCCGACCTCCGTGCTGGTATCAGAGCCTGCGAGCTCGGCGGCTTGATCGGCAAAGGCTGGAAGGCTCAAATAAACCCAAACACTCCATGTAAGCATTTGTTTAACCGGCATTATTACTTCCCCTCATGAGTCAATAGCACTGAGGACCCAAAAGACCGCAAATGTCGAGACGTTGTAGCTTTGCCTGTGGACGGTTGGGTAATACCCTAGTTTCAGCCACAGCCTTTTGGGCAAAACAACGCAGCTTGCTGAATGCCTCTTGCATCCATACCACCCGTGTAGGGGATGGCTGCGTAAGAACTGCGTAAGAATCCTTTTGCATCTTGAAACCAGTTGCAAGGAAGTCTTCAACATTATAAATAAAACATTGAAGAAACACTAATTTTAATATATATATATATATAATTTCTTTTTGAGGCCTCATCCACCGCGTCAGCTGCTTACCCGATCTCAACCCAAACGCACAAAAAGCACCGCACTCGCCGCAGCTTCGCCGAGCCCGGGGCCGAAGGCCAACTTGCCCGGCTCGCGGATCACCGTCTCGCTTTCCTCTGGGACCTGACAAGCGGAAGTGGGGAACGGAGGACCTGTGCCACAAGGCGGAGGGGTCAGGGTTCATCTATGACTGAATAAGCAAAAAAGGCAACAGGTTGGTTTGGAACACTTAACAGTCGCTTGGTAATTTGTTGTGGCGGCTGAAAGAAACTGGGACAAGCTACAAGCAAGCTGCCCAATCGCAAGGTCTGCTGATGGGTTGGCGGACTCCCTTGAAAACCTGCTGGAAATCATCGTGCGCATGATTCAATGTGCTCCACGCTGTGAGCACGCAGTCTGCATCAACATGGCTGGCCTACAAGTGGACTTTGTTTGAGGTCTGCAATGGGGATGATCAGCAAGTTCCTTCTCCCCAACAGTCCCCCCCCCTCTCTGAACTCGGAGAGCGCATCGGATTGCTCTCCAGTGCCAAAGGCTCATGCTCCTGTTCCTCTTGTGTCAAAGAAGGCCCCCCCAAAAAAAAACAAATAAACAAAAAAGGTGCGTGTTCTTGTTGCGATTCAACAAACAAATTTCCCCCCGCCCCGCGAGTGAACCACTGCTCCCGCCACCAAGAGCAGGGGATCCCTGCGGACACCCATCCTCTTCAGGCAACAGCTTGCCAGCCGCGTAGAAAACAAAGGAGCGAGGAAACAAAGAGAAAGGGCAAACATGAGAACTGTTCCAGCCGAAGAGCTTGCTGCCTGGGGGGGGGGGGGCCTCCTATGCTTTTGGGGGTCGGCTTATAGACAGACACTTTGTGAAACTCCCAACTCATGGGAGCTGAGCCTTAGGAACTCCAGACAATGATCTTCTTTCCGTGTCAAACCATTCCAAAAGAGATCCAACCCCCAACCCCCTACCCCAAAAAAGCGAACGGATCGCATGAAATGGCCATGGATTACTTTTTTCTCGTTGGGTGTGAAGAGAAGGGAAGAAGCTTCAACCCAGGGCTACCTTGGTGTTTAGCCCCAACAGGAAGCAATGCACAAAACGGAGTCCAGCACGCGCGAGCAGAAAAACTTCAAAACTTAAAGAAGAAAAAAACACATTTTGGGACATGTGCTGAGACAAACCATACAATCCAGGGAGCAGCATGGAGCAACTATGCCCCTAAGGTACGTACCTCTATACCCCCAAACCAAGGTTCGCAGCACATGAAAGGAAGTTGCTTCATGGTTGCACGCGCAAAGGAAGCATAGTCTCTCTGATTGGTGGTTTGCAAAGGAAAGGGCTTGCCATTCACCATCTAAGCCGGGTTCAATTCCCCAGTTCCCCTCCAAATCCCCAAAGGGTCCCCATCGTGGCCTCCAGCTCACTTGCCCCAAGTTGGACCCGGAAATATATAACTAAATTGCGGTGAACCCTTTTTTGGTGCCCCTGCACCAAAAAAATATATGGGCAAAGCTTTTGACCACACAAAAAGTCGCCTTCTCAACCTTTCGGTGCCAACTCGGGGGGAAACAGGGATTCTTACATTCTACACCTGAACATTGCAACTTGTAAATGGTGTTTAAAAAAAAAAAAATGGTGTTGAAGAAGCAACATGTTTCAAATGGTTGCGAAATGGAGATCTTTTAAGGAGTGGGAAACCTCAGCTCACCTCCGGATCGCTTCAAGCGGCCTTGGGGAGCCCAAAGTTCCAGGCGCCGGCCTGAGGAACGAGGATCTCGGCGCTCCGGCGCTCGCTCTCCCCGAGCGATTTTTTTTTGGGGGGGGCGGTGATGTATCAGCTCCGTAAAAACTGGGGAGGACCCTGGACAAACACCACAAAAAAGAGATGAGATGTCAAAAAAAGATGAGATGTCCCAACTCAAGGGGAAAAGTGGCCAAATGGTCATGTGGGGGCCCTGAATGGAATGTTGATCAAGCCCGCAATATGTACTCAGGTACCTCCTTCTTTGACTGTGCCCCCAAACCATGCACACACACACACACACACCACTTTGGTGTAAGGTAGAAGGATACATCCAATCCGGCCGCCAAAACAAATGTTGAACTGGCTCCCAAGAGATTTGCTGGCCCAAAAAATGGCGGGGGTGGCGTCTCTAGATTGCTGGCTGCCAAAAATGGCTGGGCTGCTGCCCCGACAAGGGGCAGCTTGAAGAATAAGGACGAAGTCAAAAGCCTTTGGCCTCCCTTTTAACCCAACCCCAAAAAACAGCTTCCCACAAAAAAGGGTTCCCCACAAAAGCCGGCCCTATTGCCTATTGACCATGGTCAAAGTTCAAGTGGTTGTATGGAAGATGTTTGGAAGCAGACCGAGTTGTTGACCTTGCTCACCCCAGAAACACTCAAAACAATGACCTCTGTTCCAAAAAACGCCTCCCACTTTAGGGGCCGAAAGGTGTTTGAGACCAGCTTTGAAGGATCCAAAAGAGGGCACTCTCAAAACAGGATCCATAAAACCACCAAAAGAAATCCTTCAAAGACAAACAGCCACCCGCCGACTCACCCCCACCCCCCCAACAGCACAAAACCGACTCCTCCCCCAAACCCACCATGTAGGGCTGGAAGGCGGGCGCTTCCGCGGACAAGCCCTGAGTGGCGCGGCACGGCTTCCCTCTTATTCCAGGTTTGGATTGGTGGCTTGCCGGGCACCAAACCAGAGGCTTGCCTGGTTTACCAAGCCCAACCAAGCCAGAAGAAGGGAGAACACTGACAGAATCGAAACATGACCCAACAAACCAAAACCAAACCCAAAACCCAAAACTCAAAACTCAACCAAGTTCAACCAAACCCCATCCGAAAACAACACGGACCAAAGCAAAACTTAACCAACAAATCGCGCTAACACCGCAAACTCAAGACCCAGTAAACCAACCAACTCGATAGATGCGGACGGTGTCCAAACAACAAAGTAAAACCGTTGCCAAGGTTTGAGCGAATGCAGGTGTGATCTTTCGCGCTTCCACGCTTCCAGGCACAGGCATGGGATATCATGGGATAGAAGTTGCTTCACACACACACACACGTAAACTGTGGGCATGTGTCACGGGCAACCCCCCCCCCAACTCTCCCCGCAGAGTCCTTGTGTTTTGGACACATACCCACGGGCTGATGAGCTGCAACCCACAAGGGAGTTTCCGTTTAAGTGTTCCTTCAAAGGTGAAAAAGGCACTAAAAAGGCACGCATTGTGTTTGGGGTAGTTCAGAAAACCCTCTCGGCCTGTTTGAACGGTCAGCGCCCAGCAAAGGCCCAAACAAGCAAACCTGTTGGTCAGTGCCCTCATTCAGCTGTCTTGGGCACCCAGTCAAAGATCCATTCTAAGTGGAACCAGGTGACGCACATCAATTACATGGGGAATAGTCTCGGTCAACCATGTTGAGAGTGTTCCCCATTGAAATTCAAATCTTGTTGGCAAGCACGGCAAATTGATTTGTCAAGCCGTGCAAAGCAAAGACACAGCGGTAAAAACCCTTCCTCGCCCCCCCTCGCCCTACTTCGTGTGGGGTTCAATCACCAACTTGCTTATTGCGGGCCCACAAACAAACATCTCATTCGGGCTCTGTCAAAATCCTAACATGCGTGTCCTTGTGGCTTGAACACTTACATATCTTCACAACCCGTGGTATAGTATCAAAGCAAATCTATTTTGCAGCCCCCTACTAATAAAACAAGACATGCCAAGAACAGTGAAGATGTGGGTTGTCCAAAGCTCAGACTAACTGCCCAGTGTCTCGAAACAAGTCGCCGCTCTCCTGAAGAAAAGCAAAAAAAAAAAAACGCCAGCTGCACGGCTTCCCTCCAAGCAGGGCCCGTGCGGAGCCCGAAGACTGCGCGCTGGTGGCAGGCCTGCCGGGAATTCATGCTAAGGGAGCTTGGAAATTGCTTTGGCGGTGAAATTGCTTGGGTTGGTTTGGAATCTTCGGATTTGCAAAAACAAACGCCACCCATTCCTAGATAGACTGTTAGCTGTACCTCCGACAAAATCCAGAGGCGGCATGTTGCTCCTCACAAATTAGTGGGAGTGTTGTCCCCCGAAAGTGGTCCGCTCCCAAATGGTACATCTCCCGAAGCCTCTCTCAAAAACACCAGGGCCTCACCCCTACTCCACAACTTCAATGCAACATTGCCAACGAGGACAACGTCTCCTCCAAATGTTGAAATTTCTATCGGCTGCTTCCTTCTGCTCCAAACCCTGGCTGCTGCCACATCAGACCTGCAAACAGAATGGCACTTACAAAAGACAAAAGTCCACCCAACTTCTTGGAGAACGCCTGGTAGCTCCACGTGGAAAACAAAGGGAACCCCAAAAAAATGAAAAATCAAAAAGGGGAACTAATTCTGGGGAAGGAAAGAGATACCCCCAACTCCTCAGCTTCCAACCACCTATTGACATGGAAAAGTCTCCTCTCGGGCCAACCTCGGGCCCTGCGAAATGATGTCCGCGGTCACCTCGCGGCTTTGCGTCTTTGCGGGGAATGACTTTGACCGTACATTGATGAAGCCACAACAGGGATCCTTACATTATACGCCTGAACATTGCCTTGTAAATTGTTGTTTCCCTTTATTTTGGTGGAAAAAGCCATGTTTCAAATGGGCAAAATGTATCTTTTAAGGAGCCCTGCATAAGGCCACAACGACTGGACTTCGCCACGAAGAGGGGTGGCGCAAACCAAACAAGCATGGACAAGTGCATGACTCATGACGAAAAGTCCGAACGGGCCCAGCTGCCAGTCGCAGTGCGCCTGCCATGCAAACTTTTTGAGATCCGCTGCGACTCGCAGTCGTGTAAGCAAAGCCGCGTGCACATGTGAACCCGCAATTCCGCAACATGTGCTGTTGTCTGACAGATGAGTGTCAGGATGAAACAAGGCGAGCGTCAAACGGCGAACAAGATCAAACATTCAAAGACCACGCGGTTTGGATCAAGAAGTCCTGCCACCCTTAAAGGCGCGGATGTTTCTGGCCGCGCTGCCGGCACCCTTTGAAATGACACACTCAACTCTCCAACATGTCGACACGGCGATCGCCCAGCCCTCCCCACTTGGCATTGCCTTGCAAAATGCTATCAGCAAGCAAGGCACGTCTGTGCAATGGCGATGGCTGGCCGGCACGCTTGTGCTCTAAACTGCTCCTGTCAAGGCCAATCAAGCAAGACTGCCGCAGCCTCCTGTTGGCACCAGTGTCCCATAGTGTGCTCTAATGTGCATAGAAACGCTACGTTCTGCTGAACATGTCTGCATGCCCGACATTCACTTGCGACCCTTGCTGCTTGGCATTGCCTTGCAAAACACCATCAGAAAGCAAGGCACATCCAGCCTTTAAATCGCCTCACTTCCAGCGGCTCGCCGCAAGTCCGTAAAACACGGCATACTTGGCGAGCTCCGTGGCAGCAGTCTGCTGCAAGCCGTTCTGCCACGTGTAGCCGTGCGCCATGAGCATGGCGTTGATCCACTGACCCACGTGGTCCCGGTCGAAGTCCCACTGCTGCTGGTCTACTAGGGACCGCCACACAAAGTCGAAGGCCGGGCCGTCCGCGATGCGGGGCTGCAGCGCGTGCAGCAGAAAGCTGCGCCCGCCGTTGAAGGCTGCCAGCCAAGAGGAGGGAGGCAGGGCCGAGGGCAACTCCTCGGACACCCAGTCGGCTTCACAAGACACGTCTGCCACTTTCCTCGGCAGGCCCGGTAGAACTGCCACGGGAACGGCAGCAAGCATGAGAACACAACAAAAAAGGAAGAAACGACAAAAGAACATCTAGCGACAGTGCACCAAGGTTTTTTTGAATCTTCTGACTAAAATTCCAAAGAAACCTGCGTCTGCGTCCATCGTTGCAAGCAAAGGGTCTGGCCAGATACATTGCGGTACAGGAAAACCTTCTTCTGCACATCCCATCGCCATTGTTCACCAACCCACGCTGCATCCATCGATTGGCAATTGCGCCCAAACTCGTCACACACGCCTACGAAGTCAACACTTTGCAGCATGCCGAACTCATCAAAACACATGACTGTAGCAGGCCCCTTGTACTCAATACAAAGCTCCTCCAGAACTCGCCCGTTCGAATCCTTGGCTTGAGCTGCTGTTGGCACAAATCTGGTAAAAACTTGCCCCCTCCATAGAGTTTGAAACCAAGAATAGGTGCAAATAGCTCTTGGTTCTTAGGGCGGCCCCTCTTCGGGTTTTTCGGAGCTCCTCTCACTTCCGCCCTCGGCTGTGCAGGTGTCCCCCTTTCTGGGCCCAAACTGGAGGGGTTCGATCCAGATCCCAAGCACCATGGTGCAGGTCTTGGCTTCGAATTGATTTCACCCTGGCTGAGGATTGGTTGCGCTGCGTTTTGTTCGTATTTCATTCATCGCTGGTTTGGTACTATTCTAGGTTTAGACGGCCCCTTCAAACGGCTGCAGTGGAGGTTTAGGGGGAACTTCTAATTACTGAAGACCTTTCTGATTGGGAAAACGGGGCGATCCCAAGCAGCACTAAGATTGAATGCCCCACTGCGAAAAGCAATGCAAACAAGCTGATGCAATAGTTTGCTTGCAAGCAACGTGCGGGCACAAACGTGGATCGCCTGAAGCACGGAAGCTCCACTGTTGTCGCCTGAGACGTTCCTGTTCTTCGGCAAGTCTCCGGCGTTGCTCTGCTCGCGCGCGCTCCTCCTCTTCCATCCTCCTCCTTTCTGCATTCAGCTTCTTCCCTTCCTCATTCAACCTTCGCTCCTCCTCGAGCGCTTTCTGCTTTTCTGCCTCCATCTTCATTCTGCTCTTATGCAATTCTTTCTGTACCCCCTCCAGCTTGCGCATATGTGCTTGGGAGCTCGACTCACGATACCTTTCCTCCTCCAAGCCTTGCTGAAAAGCGGCTTGATAGGTGGCGTAGCCGATCAAACTCATGGCTGTCTCCGAAACGTGCGACAGTTTCTGAGCCCAACCCAAAACCGGAGCCAGAGCTTCTTGCGGCAGGGCGCTGAGCAACAAGGCTTCCCAGCGTGGTGTTGGCATAAAGCCGTTCTGCGCCCCCTCCAGCAGAATTTCCAAATCAGACTCCACCTGCTCCGCCGAGATCTCTCTGTTTTCGCCATAGGCGTACTCATAGGTATCTACAAACTGACGGGGGAGCCTGGTGCCGAACTCAGCCAGGCAGCCCGTGACAAGAAGTGCAAGCAACACTTGTAGCTGCATCCTTGCAAACCTTGCCGCCAATTGCTTGATCCTCACGGCTGCGTCCATTTTGCCCAGTTTCCACAACCTTACGCAACTCTGACCAAAAAAAAGCGGTGCACGTTTCCACATCGAGAGGGGGACCTGCAAGACTTCAAAAAGCAACCACAGAGCCTTCCGACTCACGGGGGTGAACACAGCCCCAGGCCCATGAACTCCCCTAGAAGAGTCTGAGGTCGAGGCGCACGTGCCGGACTTATCCCACTGGCAGCCTGCAAAGTGGCTCGCCTCAGTTGAGCCACTGGGAGAAAGGTGGCAAATGGATGTTCATCCACCCCAAAATGGAGCCATAGGTTATGCCCCATGGCCACAGGAGCCAAAAAGCTCGGAGCAGAAGCTCAACAGAGACTTGGGGCAGGCGACGGAGCGAGATCAGTTCGAGAAACGCCTCACGCCGAGCGGCGCAGGCTTGAGCGTCCTCCTGCGTGTCAAAGAAGGCGACCACCTGCAATAAAACTTTCAGGGGAGACTATAATTACAGTGAATGCGTGAGTTGGTGCCCCAACAAACTCTAGAACACAGAAAGTAGACCCCGCGACAAGCGCGGAGAAAACGCTGGTGTCCAAGCGCTGAAATCCTTGCGAATGCTAAGCGCGGAGAAAAACACGAGCAACGCGCAGAAAACAAAAGACTGGTAGTTGTTCTGTTCAACCTTGTTTCTATACCAAAACGATAACCCATTCAAATCAGGCGAGCTGGCGTAGTGGCATCCGCAAACAACATCTGCCATCTACTTTCCCAAAAGTCATCGACCTTGGAGCCGCTCCCCACCAGCCCCACCAGCCCCCCCCCTCCTGTACCAGCCTCCCCCCCGCCCCCACCCCCCCCTGCCCCCCAGCCCTTTGGCGCCTTGTTGCCCTGGACGTTGAAGCCGCGGAGCCGGGCGAGGCCCGCCTGTTGAAAGACCTTCCGCCCACTCGGGGCCGAGGCTTCCGGAGACATCTTGGCCCGACTGCTGGATCTTTCGGGGTCTACCGATGAAAAAAAAGACCCAGGAACCCGTTGAACCCCACAACCCGAACCCCAGACTTTGACAATTTTCCAGCGAAAAGGCGCTCTTTCGCAACAGAGTATGCCAACTGGACCAAAACGGCACACAGACTTCAACGCCTCGAGATCCCAGGCGCTGCATTCAAACCCCACTGGCTCCGTGTCAAAACAAACGACACTTGGGTGACGGACAGGTTCAGTCTCCAAACTTCACAAGCCATCGCTCACAAGTTCAGAGCATCCAAGGCAGCCACAGCTTCCATCATCACCTGTGAGGCTCTCTCTCTCCCTCTCCCTCTCTCTCTTGAGAAGAGGGAGAACACAAGAGTCCAACAGTATCACCAGATTGCGGCCCCATTGGCACCGTTGGACGAGCTTGGGCCCACCCTTGCCTTGGCATCTTGACACCGCTCATGTTTGCATAAAATCGTAGGGCCGGTTGACACCCTCACTAAATTGGTCCTCCAAGTTTGGCGCAAGGTTCCTCTTGAGTTCCCTCTTCTTGGGGAACCCTTTCCCTTGTGCTTCTTAAAATTTGGTGCCTCATGTTTCTTTTTTTTCTCGAAACGGCCCTGAAATTTAAACATTTTGAGGACCCTGTTCGACCTCCGTTTGCTCCCAAACAACCAACATATCATCTGATTATGGTCCATATTTAGCGAGCCTGAAGATGTAAGCGTGCATCATTTGAGAGGTCTCGGTTTTCTCGGTCTTCTTGCGGTTTCTCTTTGGACAACGAACAACGAGCTCCAGACTTCTCCTTCAAACATCCCAAGGCGTTCCACGGGTTCCATTGACCAAGATGGACTCAAAGCCAGTTGATTCCCCAAACGAGATCGGAACCCTTGGGCTGGTCTTCAGCCTCCCAAAGTAACCATCTGAAAATATCTTGACCCAAACCCCAGGGAGTAAAAAAACAAACCTTGACCTGAAAATGGCCCCAATTCCATAACAAAGCCCAGGACAATATCAAAAACTGGCCGAGCCTGTCCCTGAAGCTTCCGGTTCTGACATAACTTTTGTGGCTGTTGGGTCCTCCGCCAAGTTTCGCTTGTGGGCTGGGAAAATACTGAGTTCACATATTTGCCCAGAAGTTGAAGGTCAAAGGTCCAAAGATCCAACCTGCCCCCCTCGGTGCAACCCACTTGCCGATTGCCGAAAGCACCAGGCAAAACAAAAACAAAACATGGCTCACCTTTCGGGGCCCCAGGAAAAAGCCAACATGGAAAACACCTTCTTGGGTCCAACAGCTCGCTTTGGAAAAAACCGAGAACCACCGAATGGAAAGACCCAAAGCCACTTTCGAGCTCGCGCCCGGACTCGCTCGACGCGAGTCCCTCGTCCGCCTGCGTCAGGAGCTTCGCCGGCAGGTTCCGGATCACCACGTGCCAGTCCGCCTGCACGGCCTCGAGGCCAGCGGGAAGTCCCAACAAACGCAGCCAGCACCTGCGTAGGTCCTCGTTTTCTCCGAAGAGACACAAAAACACGCTTGTCTGATAAGCGGGGAACCCACTGGTGTCTCGAAAAAGAACATGTGCTGTGTGGGGAAGCCACGAAACAAACGAAAAGGAGAAACAAATGAAGAAATTCGTTCCCAAGAACCAGCGGGGAGAGATAGAATGTCCATTTGCCCACTTCAAAGGCAAAGTGGCGAGGACCTGGCTCGAGCAAGGAGATGAAATCCATCTAAAACTTGAAGCGGAGCTCAAACCCATCCGGTCAACTCCCTCTGGCCCTCTCAAACTGGGCGGTTCCCATATCCCCTGCTAAAAGTCCAACTTGTCGTGGTTGAAGTGGAAACTACCACTAAACTTGATGGCTGGGAATCACCAAGAAAATCGCCCCCTTGAAGAAACCCCTTGCCTGGTTCCAGTAAACCAAGCCAACTTGGCCCACAACCCCAGCCCCGCCTCAGCCCCGCCCGCCTTCGCTTTCCCAGCTGCCTTGCTCAAACCAGGCGGCGACCTGGCGCTGGCAACAAGAAACAACAACAGAACCAAGGGTGATACCCTTTTGGCTCAGTTTGAAGATGCCCTTTTCACGGATTTTTTTGAACAACTGAACAACCACTTGCGTTGGCACCCGCGTATTTACCCCAGAATGAAAATAGAGGCCATCATTGGATTCTGTTTCTGCAGTGGATACAACCTAGACAGGGTGGCAAAAAGGGGGTCGCTGGCCCGAGCTGGGGTTGGGCAACGGAGTACGTAACGCCTGTAACGAGGCGTGTGGCGAAGCAAAGCGAGGCGCAGTATGCAAAACGCACGCGTCGGGGTATGTAACGAGGGGCATGCAGCCAGCCGAGCGGCTTGTTCATCATCTGAGGTGGGCAACGAGGGTTTGTAACGAGGGGTGTGTAACGAGCCACACCTCAAAAACCTCAAGCCCCAACCAAGCCCACTGTGCGCCAGCTCTATGAACCTCGTCTTGGCGATCCGGCGCGTCACAGCGCAAAACCGAATCCCAGTGCGTCGCTTCAACTTGATGCGCAGCTGGGACGTCAAACGCGGCCACACGCAGACGGTGGGTCGGCTTTGCGGTGTCCTGGGCCGAACAGAGCGTCAGCCTTGTCAGTCTGACCCCGCTTCAATTTTGTCGAGGGAGGGAACGCGTCTTCCAACTTCTGGACGAGACACTTTCTTGAACTTGCTCGACGGATATGCCGCAGTGGCGGAAATTGAGCCTGCCTTGCCGGCCAGCGCTATGTCTGCCGAACAATGCAAAGCGGAGACGAAATGACTGGCACTTTCGGCTTCAGTCCACGGCCTGCCCAGGACTCGAAGCTCTGACGTCGATCTCAGCACGTGAGGCTCAAGAACATGCCCATGCCACGTGAGGGGCGGACAGTCGCGTTGCAAAACCTTTTCCAACAAAGAACACAGAAATAAAGAAAGAAAGAAAGAAAGAAAGAAAGAAAGAAAGAAAGAAAGAAAGAAAGAAAGAAAGAAAGAAAGAAAGAAAGAAAGAAAGAGACAGATAATGAAAGAGATAAATGAGGAACCACATAAAGGCAGAAACAAAGAAATTATGAACAACCGAAAGAAAGAATGAATGAAAGAAAGAAAGAAAAAAGAAAGAAAGAAAGAAAGAAAGAAATAGACAGAAAATGAAAAAGATAAACAAGGAACCACATAAAGGCAGAAACAAAGAAAGAGTGAACAACCGAAAGAAGGAAAGAAAGAAACAAGAAAGAACGAAAGAAAGAAAGAAAGAAAAAGAAAGAAAAAAAGAAAGAGAGATCACAAACGAAGAGTTAGCACACGTGGCATCAGCATGGTACAAGCCCCCATAAGCCTGAAAAGGCCAAGGGGCTCTGTGTCCATTTGTTCGATCAGGCTGCGTCAATGGGCCATCCAGCGCGGGCTTGACACCTTTTCACAGGGACAGCATCCAAGAACAAAGGTTTGGCAACAATTGTTTGTGTTGGAATTCGACTCCCAGTTGCCGCTTGTCTTGCAGGACATGGGCACCGCCGCCAAGAACGCTGCCCAGGATGCACACAAGCATAAACCTCAGACATAACAATATGCGACACCGCCAACAAAAAGGAAGGACAAGGTAGGCGCTCTGACACCACACAAACAAGTGAGACAGCGGTATCATTGGACAGCAATTACGACATCATAGCGCAGGCAAGGCACGCCAGTGGAACGCCCAACGAGCCAGGGGGGCAGGGCACCCCACTGCCAGTTGAACGAGCAGCACGAATCGCATCATGGCAACTCACAAAGCTGCAGCGCAAGCAGGATGAAACAGTGCTCTAGCCCGCCTCCTTGCTCAGGCGGCAAGCGCAAGCCCAATTTCTCCATCCAGCCTTGGCCTTTGCCGACGCAGGGCCTGTGACATCCTTCATGCTGGTCTTGCGCCACAGGAGTTGACGGAAGCAAACTGGCAGTTTGCATCAACACACCTGGCAGATGAATAGGCGGTGCCTCCAAAGGTAAAAAGTCAACGATCTCCTTCAACACGGACACCCGGTTCCCATTCATTGCAAGTTTCGCAGATGCCAAGCATGTTGTTGGCATTCGCTGGGACTTGGTCTCAAGGGCAAGCAGTGCGCTGAGTGTAGCTTGTCCGGCGCCCCTTGGGTTGGTGTATGCCACTTTGGGTGGGGAAGATGTATGCAATTCGAACTCTATGAAGATCAATGCCAGCACAATAACTTGTGAGGCCTTGGCGCAAGCATGGTATGAACTGCCCATTTGCATGCGCACGATCTTCTAAACATGTACGAAATCGTTCTTCTGCGGCGATTTAGGCGCGCTTTGAACAAAATAAAGCACGCTTGTGCATTGTGTATTCTCTTTTGTCTCGGCGCATTTCGAAATCTTTGGTCATGATCCAATACAGAGTCGCGTCGGGTTATGGTCCTGGTATGTTGTGGATAGACTTGCAGAAGATGCATAAACAAACAATTACACCAGCGTAGACCCCAGATAGCATACCACGGCTAATGGCTCAACCTGCATCATTGATGCTGACAACATCAGGGTGACACCACAGCCACGCAGCATTGTCCTTTTTAGTGGCATCATGCTAGACACACCAGCAATGAACCTTTACGCGCTAGCTGCGCTACATTTAAGGCAAAGACAGCGTCGCAGTGTCATGATGATGCGAACAGTATCAAGGTGATGCGAACAGCACCATGGTGATGCGGACAGCGTCATGGTGACACAGCCAGTCGACCTCGCAATGAAACTCAGCATCATCATGATGATGTTGACAGAATCATGGCGATACATCACGCGAACGATAGCGCGGCATCGGAATGACTCCAGCAGCCTCGTGGCATGGCTGGCGCCGTCAAAATGCCACGAAACATCACGACGAAGTCCCACTGGGTTCAACAACATCATGATTGTGCGGTCAGCATCATGGTGACACAACAAACACGAATCAGTTCTCGCCCCCATCAGCCTGCCATCAATCTTGACAAATTCGGCCCTTAAAGCAGCACCTGCAAACTGCATGCCCCCTAGCGCACCCTACAGTCAATCTCGCCAAATTGCGCCCCCACCTCCATCTTGCAAAAAAACGCGCTTCCATCACCAACACCTCAAACAGCGCCCCGAAACAACGCCGCACCCGCCGTCTATCTCGCCCACCGTCACCAGCACCTCAAACAGCAGCCCAATGTCCCCTAGCACCGTGCCGTCAATCTCGCAAAAATGCGCCCGAACTGCCACCAGCGCCTCAAACAGCAGCTCAAACAGCACCCCCGAACTGCATGTTTCCTAGCACACTGCTGTCAACCTCGCAAATCACTTTCCCCTCTGCATGTGTAGTTAGAACCCCTAAAGCTTTCAGCTATCTGGGGAACCAAGAAGAAACAATCAAACAACTTGCGCAACCACGTGCAAAAGCCAACCAATCTCGGGTTCTGCTTGCGCTTCAGATTGGGTCGCCAAGCTCACTTTAATGCGTCACGCCCCGTACGAAACTCCGGCATGGACTCGCCGATTAGCAAAACATGGGCCGAGATGTCCAGGGCCGCACTTCTACGCATTCGGGCTGTATATGCAGTACAGTAAGCTTCCTCGTTCACGGGGCAGGTGGTTCGCCCTGACCCAACACGGCTAGGTTTTAACCCTTTTAAACAAGAAACTGTGTCAAGGGGTCCATCTAGAAGGAACATTACGCCAGCATAGACCCCAGATAGCAATATCATGGCTAAAAACCATGACGCAGCATCATACTGGTTCCCGCGGCGCCATGCTGATGTTTATCCGCCGCGGCTCTGTTGCAGACCCCCTCAAAAAATATCACGGCAATGTGTTTTCAACAAAAAAGCGTGTGCTAAGCCCTTTCCATTTTGCGAGAAATACAGAGTCCAATGAACAATACCGTGCCAAATGCCCGTGAGCACGTTCTTGCGCATACGCATTCGAACACCAGCACCAACATGCCAAGGTAACACCGAGCAAACGCAGGCCAAAACGTTGACTAACCTGATCAAGCGCATATTGCCCTGCTAGCTCTCCGGAAGTCTCTTTCGAACGGTGGTGGAAATTGATGAGAACCAAACTGACACCAGTGGAATCCATCGACGTGCAGTCAACGCGGCCTTCCCTACAGAACAACTATGCCTGCCCTCAACCAACCCTCAATCATGGGAAGTTACCCCAACCTTGCAAAGCAATATACCATCAGGGCCAGGTATATGGGTACGTGTCAAAATAGGCGTGTCGTTATGGTTTCCGTTTAACCCAACCAAGACGAGGCGCACCCAAAAAAAAGAAAACACGGATCCATATCAGCGTTGTTTGTTTTCTATGTCGCGAAACCCGACCAAGGGACTCCCATACATTCGGCTTGCCTCGGGCCCGGCTCCTGGCGAATCCGGGCACTGTCGGAAGCTCCCCGTCCAAAGCCAGGTCTCTCAAGGGGTGGACCTTCCCTTTTTTAGTTCTGGGGGGCCCCCTGCTGGTTGGGATTTGTAGGGAAACCTTAAGGAAGCCCTGGCCATGTTTGGGTGGCCGATGCCTCTTTTACCCATCCGAATCCCTTCGGCCACTCTGCGCCGTTGGTAAAAGCCGACGTCGGTCCTGTTGCCGAATGAAAAACAAAGGAAACTCACCTCGGGGTGTTTCAAAAGGTGACCCCTGTGCCGCTTTGAACCAAGCCCAAAAACCGAGATTGCACGGGCCATTGCGCCCCTAATCTCCAATTTGTATTCCTCTCCTTTATATGATCAGTTTGGTATCCCTTTGTGTAGCTACGCCTCGGTAAAGCATTTAGCGCTATTTAGCGTACCCACTTTGTGCAAACATCTCGCTCGTTCTTGGGGATACATCTTCCCTTAGATGTTAGATGGTGCTGCATGGTTTTCATCTTGTACAAAAAGGTCTTACTATGAACTCATCACCACAGGTAGCAGAATCTACTAAAATGGCCAACAAGGGAAATGAAAAGTGTGGACCTGCCACTTAGGAGGTCGGCCTGCTTCTACGCGTGACCCACGGACAATATTATTTGTTATGCCAGGGGACATGGGATTGTTCCCCCCCCGCCCGGGAAATGTGGGCCGTCCCCCCCATGTTCTCCCCAAACCATAAACTTCGGGCCCGATGTTCAAGATACCAAGCGACCCCGATTCAGAAGGGTTGCTACACCTGTTTACAGGATCTCTCCATGGCTATCAAATGATGGGGGTCATCTGACAGCCATTGGGCTGTCTCGTGGGGAACAGCACCCGCCACAGTCTCCTCCATCTTTGGCAAGCCAGGCGGCAAATCGAGCGTGGGCTCCTATAGCAACACATGATGAGGGCTCGACTTGTGAGCTGGTGCGATGAAATGGGGCTCTCAATAGTTGGACCCAAGGTGGACATTGTCTGAGGAGTTGTCAACGTTAGGGGGCCCTTCTCAGTATTGACTTTAAAAGGCGGCACTTTGACTGGGCACCAGGGTGCAAAAAGGAACCGGACCAAAAAAAAGATATCCCCTCCTTTTGATTCTCCTCTTGAACCATCCAGAGGATTCCCACTTTCTGTTCCATTTGGTCGCATTTTCAGACTTCCCCGCCCCCCCACCTGGCACCAACAAACTGTCCATGTCTTAGAGGAATCTCCGTTTGGGGCGGGGAACTGCCCCTCAGCGACTTCTGGCCATGAGCAAGCAGATGCCGGTCACTTTGGGGCCCCAAGAAATCTGAGCGCCGCTACACGTGTGGTGCTTCCTGAAATCGGGACACCCCTTCATTAAACATGTGGGATTACTGCTTCTCTTGAAAGGCTTGAAAGGCATCTAGAAAGGCACCATTCTCCCTTAAGGAAGGCCGAACACCCTGCGTGAAAAAAGGCAGAAGGGATTCTACACCCAGAAGGCTTGAAATCAAACATTCCCCCAGTAACCACTGGGGGGGGGAAGGCAAACATAGCAAACCTCAAATGCAGCTTCCTCTGGGTGGTGGTCCTTCCCTTTCTTGACCGCAAGGAACATGTCTTCTGGTGGGATACCGTACATGTGACCCGAGCCTTGGGAGACCTGTAGCGCATGGCATCGCGAATGTCGTAGAACTCCAAGAAGAAGGACCCATCCTGAAGGGAGCTGCTCCCCTAAAAGTTGGTTCTCAGTCGGAAAGGCAAAAAAGAACCAGTCGTCAAAGCCATCGCTATGCAAAGGACTTGCCTACCTAGAGTGCGAGGTGGAGCCAAAAAGTGATATGTAAACCACCCAAAATGTGATGAAAGGGTATGAGGTCCAGGGAAGCTTGATGTTGAAAGGATTCTCACCCTGCAACCAAAACCAAACCGTGATTCAAAGGAACGCCGCTTCTTGTCGTCGGTTTCACGGCCGTTCGGGTGAAGTTGAAAAGTTTAGACACACCAGTGAGCTGGCATGAACAAAGGCAAACCATAAGACTCAATGGTTTGTCTTAAAAGCCTCCAGGGTTCTGATGTCCCTTTCCCTTGAAAGCAACCACAAAACCGGTCAAGATTGGACACATGGATGAAACACATGGATGAAACCGGTAAGAGCTCCCAGAAACGGCGGGGGAACCCTCCCCCCCCCCAATAGAAAAAGGAAGAGGAAAAACAAAACAAACAAACCACCAGTAACTTTGGTCGGTTTTTCAAGGGTCCCTATAGTTTCCCTTTAATGCCTTCCCCCTGCAGCAAATCGCCAAAAGTCCGCCTCCTGGCAGCCCCACCACTGCGGAAAAACTCACCCTCGAACCGCCAAAAAGAGTAGCGAGCCTTCAAAAAGACACACCTGGCTCGAAGTACTTACACTCAAGAATAGAATAGTAACGTAAAAATCCAACATTCTTTGTTGGGGGGGGAGCCGACCCAATACGGGGTACCCCCAAAAAACACATACCCCTGTGGGTGTTCTTTCTTGAGGGAACCCCTTCTTTGTGGCTTTAAAGGGGAGGCCATGTTCGCGATGCCCTGGGTGCTTTTCTTTTCAGGGGCCCTGCAAACTGGTTGTCCTTTTGGCCGCCCTTTAAAAACCATCAAAAAGGGCTACCCTCCAAAAACACACACATACCAACTGAGACAAAAAAAACACACCCGACTCTCGCGAGAGGCCTTGCTCTTCAGCACCTCCGAAATGTTCTGGAAATCCTCCGGACAAGTCCATGTGATTTCGAAGGCGGTGAGGGGTCCCCCAAAAAAACCAGGGTGGGGGGGGGAACAAGGATCAACCTGCAACCCAAGTTGCAATCATGCGTGTGTGTGTGTGTGTGCGCGTGTGCCCCAAAAAGGTACCGAGCCTCACACAAGAACACGCCGCCCCCATGGCTGTGGCTAAAATTAAACAGGAGGGGCAAACCGCAGGTTTTGGTCCTTGTTTCCAGCTACCAGGGTTCCATTTTGGGAATTCCGGTTCTTTGAGCCGCAGCCCCATGTCCACGTCCACGGCTCGGAAAAAAAAGGGAAAAAAAAACACAAAAAACGCGGCGCGCAGCGAGGCGTGGCCTTGGTGGAGAGCTGATCGTTCCCCGCCAGCCTCACGGTGCGATCACCTCGGAGCTCGGAGCTCAGAGCTGACGTTGGAACGGGCGCAAAAAAAAAACAATCTTAGCAGCTAAGTGGTTGGAGTTCAACCACTCAACCACAAGAAGCAAGAATGTGAAATGGTTCCCAACAACCATGTTGAGCGGGTCAAGGAATTCATTGGACTTAACGGAAACGCCCAGTCGAACTCCCTCCTATGAACTTTTTGCGACTGGCTGGAAGCCTCCCAAACTGGCTCATGTGCTCCCTTCAACAGGTAGAATTGCAAAAGTGAGTCGGCTTTGACGCCACGCTCATGCGCAGAAAAATCGAATGATGGCTACTCGCATGTCCAAAAGCGATGTCAACATATTGTTGCGTGTTTCGCGTCCATGACTGGTATCACGGAGAGCTGCCAGCCTCAATTGCATGCCAGATACTCATTTAACTTCAAACGCATGTTGGCCACCAAACCCAGGCCAATGCCGTGGGAAAAAAGGGGGGGCACCAGTCTGTCGTGGAAGGGAGCACTCCTAGCTGTCCAAACTTTGTGGCCGGAAGTGCCAGTTCCTTAGGCCGGCTGGGGATGTCGTTTGCTTTAAGACCAACATCTCTAGGCCTCGAGTGACTGGGCTGCGGCGCCAACTTGGGGCCCCGGGATGCAGCCGGCTTCGCCAAACGCCTCTCAGGACCGGCCCTCTCTTGCTCCGATTTTTCGGGCGCGAAGACGACCCCCAAAAAACCACCTAGTACATTCCAAGGTGGGAAACCCCTGGTGGAATAAGCCTTGGTGGCATCCCCAGCCCCAGCCCCGGATTTCCTGGCACCGAATCTCCGGAGACCTGACAGCCCGAAAACCACCCCCAACCACCCCATAGCTTTCAGCTGAGGAAAAAACGGATCCGGAGTTTCAGATCAATCCCCAGTTCCGCGGCTTTTCCAGAGATCCATCAAGTTGTTGGTGCGAGAGGGGTTGACATACTGACCTGGCTCCGTCGTGTGTGCCCGGCCCTTGTCTTTGCTCTTCTTATGTTTCTTCATGGACCTGGAAAGGGGGTCGCCCAATCTATATAGAAGCATAAATTGAAGTTCGGAGGGGGTCACCGAGTCACCACTGCCATTGTGAAGGCGCGCATTCAGGCTCAGCGTTTTGCAGAGATCTTTGTTCCAGGTTCGGTGGTTGGGAATAGTGCAAATCACATCAAATGCATTCTGCATACGGATGACTCCACATCCCGGCAATTCGACCACCTGATAAGAGCGTGTTGTCTGTCACCCGTCAGCATCACCCGACGGCCGGGTCTGCTCAACTTGCGATGCTTCGGTCCAAAATATGGGGTGCGGGGGGACCCACTCAGCCAAGTCCAGCCCATTGGGCCAGGCTTGGACGCCCAAAGAGTTGACTTGCAGCTTGAAAAGCACCATGGAACACCTTGAACTTGACCCCATGCTCCTTTTCAAGGGACCCCTTTGTCAGGTTTCATGCGAATTGGTGGGAGGGTAACCCATCTCGCAGTTCTTCCATCGCCCCAGGCGCCACTCGGAGGTCAGTTAGATCCTTTCAGGTGATTTGTCCTGTGTCAATCAGCTACACCAAGAAGCTGAAAAGAAAGCCACGAGTGTGTCACAAAGAACCCTGGGGAGGCTAGAAGATTCTAAATTCGTTTGGGCCCTATATTCCAAGCGGTAGATGTTGAGGCCAACATACCCTCCGTTACACCAATGCCTCAATTCGGGTCAACCCCAATAGCTCATCTTACCCCCAGGCAAGCTAGCTATCCATGTTAATATCCTAGAAAGTGCTTCCCAACTCTTTTCAACCGTTCGTTGCAGAATCCAGCCGCGAAGGATCGCTGGAACCTGAAGGAAATGTGTCAACCCGTGAATTGTGGTTCTCCTTTAAAACCCAACACAACAAGGTTGCACACACACACACACACACACACACACACACACACACACACACACCATCTTGCTGCTAGTGGGGCGCACACCTGCCTTCACCGCGCGAGCGGCCGAACGCACATCATAGAAAACCACCTGAGCGAAATCGGAGCGAATAGGACCTTCTTTGGGATGGCGTTCAAAGGAGAAATGTGTTTGAAAGAAAATCGAAGGTCCATGTCCTTTCCAGCCCCCAAAATTCCATTGTACCTTACCTGGCCATTCCCACCAAGGCGGCCGAAATCACGCATGTTATGGAAAACCAAAATAACTCCAAGCAACAGCGACTTTGAGTCTCCGATTCCGACTTTACCAGAAGCTGAAACAAAAAACTCAGGATAAGCAAAACAGGCTCGATTCTCATGTCACTGGTGACCCCAACTTGTTGATGGAACAGAATGACACCTTTTTGCGGTTCCAAAGGGCCTCAACTTTCATCAAGGGAAGGAGAGACAGTAGCCTAAACCCTAGAGAAAAAGGAAAGCTGTTCCTCACTCGTCCAAAGCCGAGAGTGACCTGTTGTGGATGGACAAAATCCTGTTTCATCAGATTTGTCTATCCCAACTGGTGGATGTTGTCCGCACCAGGCACTTCTGCAAGCAGAAACAGGGCCCGCAATAAACAGGAGACTTGGCATTCCGATTCAACTTTCGGGAAACTTGGAAGCAGCGGCCTGTCCACTGGCTCATTCTGAAACTGGACCAGGTGCCGAATGGAGAGCTTTGGGAGAAAAACAAAACATGTCCATGCCTTCCTTTTGGGATGGATAAATCGAAATAGGCTAGCTGACAATCCACTTTGGGCTTCCTTTTGAAGAATCGAACGCTGGCTACCTATCGATCAATTGGAGACCTGCCACCGGGGAACCACTCATTTCATACCGCACATGTTGTAATGTTGGGCACCCAGAAATCAGAGTTGCGGCTGGAAATTCTGGTTGTTTGTCTTTTCAAGATCCGGCCGCTTCTCAAGCTCCATCCTGCAGAAACGGCTTCTCCATTCGCGCAGATTTGCTCCTTGGCTTGTGGAGGAAATCCCTGCCTGCACGAAGTTGTTGAACTTCTCCAAGCGCTTGACCCTGAAAACCTGCGCCGCTGGCCGCGTCGGGCCACAGACCGGTTCGGCGTTCTATGTCTTTTGTGTGTGGATACGTCGGGGTTTCGCTCCTTGGCAATGCACCTGGTGATTTTTAGGGTTGCCGTCTGCCAAATTGCCTCGGCACGGGGAGTGGAAGGGGCAAAGGCTTATCCATCCGGATGCGCATGGATAGCCGGAAATGAACTGGGGAAGGTGTGAAGCATGCGTACCTTCTCCAATTCGAAAGCTGGCAATAGTCCCGTCAAGAATGGTCGGCCACAGCCGGTACCTTCCCGGTCCCTTGCGACCTCCTGTGAATTTCCGTGATAAAACAAGGCCGCCTGGTCTTCGGTTGAGAACAGGGAAACCCCCACTTGAGGTCTGGGTCTGGGCACGCTTCCTTAAATAAGGCAAACACCCCCCTCGTTTGTCGGACCTTCTCATGGCCTTCGCACCTCCCCCTTCCCCCCACCCCTCCGAAATCCCCGGGAGTTCAGAAATTTGGTACCTAAAGGGAAGCTCAGGCAAGCCATCTTTTCACGCCGCCAAGAATCGAACCCCTCTCCGCCCCTTCCAGCCTCGCCGAAGGATTCAAAAGCCACCTTCGCGGCGTCCAACGCCATAGCGCCCGGCAGGGGCTGGCAGGCGATCGAGATCGAGGCAGGGGGTGGCTAGGAGGCGGCTGGCTGGGTGAATGGCTGGCTGGGTGGCTGGGTGGCTGGGTGGGTGGGTGGGTGGCTGGGTGGGTGGGTGGGTGGGTGGGTGGTTGTGTGGGTGGGTGGGTGTGCACGTGTGTGTGCGACTTTGAGATGGACAGATTCTTTCCTTGTGTGTTGAGAGGTGTCGCTTTCACGAGTCCTGTGCAACTTTCCTTTTGGAAGAAGTGCAGTGACCCGTTCGGTGACCCGTTCGTCCAACCAATGCAAAATAAGAAAAACGCCGGGCAGTTCTCCCAGGATTGATTTCGCTCCCAGCCAAAAACTTCCCTTCTCATGTGCTGCACGGAAGCTTTCTTTGCTTTCTACCCAATTACCGTTGGCAAGTTAGCGGAGAAAGTGCTTGATCATGTGGGTGTGTTGTTTGAGGGTGCCCCTTTCTGCGGTTGGCTATAGAGAGAGAAATCAGAAGGACTTATTGGGGGTCCCCCTATTTTGACCTTCCCATATTGGCGCTGATGCTTTCAGTTGGTTTCCCTTGAAGACCAGAACGGGGGTCCCTAAGTCAGGGACCACCCAAAAGGCATCAACAGACGTGGCGGCTGGACGGCAATGACGCTGTTGGAGAGGGCCATCTTGAGATCTGCAACCTGCCATGTTCGCTTCATTTTTGTTTTCTTCTTCTTCTTCTTCTGCTTCTTCTTCTGTTTCTTCTTCGCATTGCCCAAAACCCAGTGAATTGATGTTTGGCTCTGCCAAAAAAAGGTCTCAATTTCCAAACAGCCCCCCCCCCCTGGCCAGTTTCGCAGGCTAAGCTTTGTCGAACCCATGCTTTCCTTGAACCGCTGCCAGGCTAGCGTTGTCACTCATTTGGGCAACGACCCTGAAGCATTGCTTCAAGTGTGCTTGTTCTGGAGAATCTGAGAATGACCCAAGACATGTAAATCCGTCCTTGCAGGGAAAAATCGAACGCTTCATGTCCCTAGGCACACACCTTAGTAAAGCAAGCATCCCAAGGATTCTGGATGGCACAAACCCCCTAATTCCTGGCTGTGGGGACAGGGGACTAAACCACGGGTTACTGCTACCCAACTGTATGTCGCAAGCTGGAACTAGAGGGGAGAAGCACGTAGGTTTGGGGAAGTGGGCACGACAGCGGGCTGAGTGCAGAGTTTGGGGGAGGTTCCGAACTTTAACGTACTACTATACCCATCTGATTCGATAACGTACTACTCTACTTGAGGGAGTGGATGCCCTTTTTTCCTTTTGATCAGCGTCTGAAATTCATCGAGAGTATCACTTTCTGAGACCCTGTTGATCCACACATTGGTTCTTCCTCTCCAAAATGCGTAACACAAAATCTCCTTACCCCGCCACAACCTTTGCAGCTCCGCTTGCCCCTTCGCCGATCCCTTCAGCATCCCCTCCCCATCCATCGCCTCGAGTGGGGAAGATGGGCACAAATTCACTGTACGGTCCTCAGCGCCCCCAGCACCGAGGATCGAATCGAGCCGGCGATTCATTCAACCTCTCCCCCACGAAAGATCTTCCCACCAGGGGCCAAGTGGCTGTGTCTGAATTCTGAAGGTGCCCCCCTTTTGGTTCGTCTTCAAAGGGACAGACGAAACCAACCATTTTGAGAAACAGCCAGGACGAGAAAGTGTGGGGCGCACACTGCGTCTGTCAATTCCATGTCCTGGACACGAATCTCTGTCCGGGCATCAGTCAAACCACATCGTGGAAAAGCGTGTTCCAGAGCCCCTGCCAATCAGGGACAAGGCCAACTTAGCCCGAAGGCTACACGTGCCGGAAATGTACCGCACGGGCCAGACATTTTCCCAGAATCGAGGTCTGAGAAAGTGGAGTATCTGTACCGGGAATCTCGGGCTGGTCAACCATACCTACAAAACAATGCGACCGGGCAAAACTGCCGCTCGCTGACCCACAAAACCCCGCAAGCCAGGGTTGGAGCAACCAAAATCATAACAAACCCAAGCGCGGCCCTCCTGACATAGCCCCACCACGTGAAAAGAGACAAACACACGCAAGCCAGGCGCAGAAATCGATAGGAAACCGAGTTCCAGTGGTGCGGACCACTGGTAGCGGGCGCACTGAACCACTCGCTGTCGTGCCAAAATGGCTGCGGCGAGTGCTGAGCTGGGTGCCCTGCAATTGGTTGGAAACCTCGTTGTATGGCGATTCAAAGGATTATTGCTTCTGGACCACTATGTTTTTTTTGGAAATACCCCACAGAGTAGCATGTGCTGTTTACTTTGTAAACACCCCACATAGTGGCATGTGTTGGCTTCACCCAAAAGGCGGAACACGGCAACCTCAAACGAATTGCCAATGAATGAGCTCGACTTTGCTGCGGGACTGACCCTTCTCAACATATAGAAGTGATTCATGGATCCGGGAATCTTGCATCTTGTCATGGGCAAGCCCTCCAAGCTTGTGAAAACATGGGCTGCCCGAAACACGCCTCCGCCCAAGCGGCTTGTCGCAAGCTCTATTTTTGTTCTCCCGCAAAACACGTGACCCTTTTTGCCTTCAAAAGCAGGGTTAGGTTTTTTAACCTAGGCTTCTGCCCCCTCATGGGGCAAAGGCCTGACCCTAGGAGATGGTGCAGTTCGTACATCTGTCGGAGCACCGGTCTGCGTTTGACGCCTGCACCGGTGGCCGAGCTTGCTCGAAGGACAGCACGCTGGCCTCACCTCAGAGCCCAAAGCCCGGATATGGGTGTCTTTCTTTCTGAGGGGAAGTTGCTTGGGGTTGGCTCGAAGGAAAAGCGAAAGGCAACCAAATGTGGGCTTGCCACAAATCACATGTGACAGCCCGATCTCTGCGCCAGAACCGGCAGGGGCCCAAAGCGGATCAGAATGCACAACCCATAGGTTTGTATGGTTCTGAACGGGAGACTACGTATGGTGGGAAAGATATGAGTGGAACTTGCTTGGATGGTTTTTGGAGAGAAACCAAAACCTACCAAGCAGCCGGAGAAGCCCCAAATTATCATCTGAAGTTTCGCGCGCACTTTGAAAACCATCAGGGTGAAACTTTCAAACATCCACAAACCAGAGAAGAATTCTGGGAGCCTGTGGGGCTCATTCCTTTCGGCGAGCGAGCCCAGGCCACCCGCCTGGCCATGCCTTCATGCCCCTCAATCCCCTGCGCCCAAACTACCGCTTGAGCTTTATGTTCCTGGCACTCACTTTGCGTCGCTCTCTTGCGTCATCCCTTTCCCTACTTTGCAAGAAAGGTTCCTCTAACATAAACATGTTTCTCCAAAGCCCCGGGGGCCCGAAAATCAAATTAGAATTGCTCACTTTGAAACCTCTGACTCTGGTAAACCCGCACTGTAAAGCCAACGCAAAGAATCCGGCTGATGCTGGCCGAGGCGGGCAGCGCGAAGCGTTTATTTACAATTCTGCATTTCTGTTTGGACTTCCTTGGAAGGTGCCACAACATGCGGCCTTGGCCACAAAAATGCCGAAAAGAGACACGTGCTTCCTGCCGTGTGCGATGGTTGTGACTTGAAATGGTCTTGAAGGACATTCTCTGAGGTTAGTAGCACTGAAGCGCTCAAGAGACTAGCAAGTTCATTTAAGGTCAAGCCAAAAAGCACTGGCGCCCACATGCAGCGGTTCCACGCTTTCGAAGAAGCGAACTGCCGAAGTTTGCCCAACCAATCAGATTTGGAATTGGATTAAGTAGGCGTGCGCCGGCTTCTGCTCACATCAATTGAACAACTGCCTCCGTGCACGGCGTCACAACTAGGTTCTTTCACCCGGCATCAAGTTGAGCTGCGGGATCAGCCTCCAGCACCTCTGAAACGAGCCCCTAACACGATCAGATCCTTCTTCCCTTCCGCGGACTAGGGAGGGGCTGGGGAAGGTTGGCAAGCAGCCTCGATGAAGCCTGTCCTACCTTGAACATAACTGGCTGGGCACGGCCTGGCTGAGGGAGGCCTTCTTTGCCGCACGGCTGCGGGGTTGGCTGATGAGAGGGCTGGGCTGAATTAGGTAGACTGCGGCACCCGCCAAAAATTGCCGAGTCTCACTAAAAAAACGCAACGCTTCAAGGCAAATCAAAACACTACCTCAAAGCCAACCAAAAGAATACTGGCCAAGGCGGGCAGCGCGAAGCGTTTACAATCATTTCAACAACGGTGGCCAGCTGAGCAAGTTAAGTCTCATCGCACTCTGCCTCCTCTGTCTGCCTGGACATGCTTGTTCACACCAAGGTGACTCATGAGCCCATGCTGGACAGAACATGCAAATACTCGTGTTCCCCATATTGGACGTGAGAAATCTAGTTAGTGCGCCCCAATGTCCTTCCCAGAATTGCCAAGTTCAGCCGACGTTCAGATAGAGTGTGCTGCACGTGATGTTTTGCAGTGCCTTGTGATGACTTGCAGTGCATCATCTGCCAATGACAAGCACAGTTCCAAGAGAACATTCGAGCAAAGTCGCATGGGGCCTGTCAACACTACTGCAGTTAGGCTTCGGGCCCCCTATTCCAGTCTTCAAGAAGCATCCAAAACAGGCCGTAAACAAAATCATCTCAAAATTCGGGGATCCCTGATGGTTCACTCTTGGCTTCCTTGTATGGCCAAAAGCTGGGGTTCCCCCAGCTTAAGAGGCACTCAAAATGGCTGAAGCCCGGTTCTCAGCCAAGCAGCTTTGGCTGAAACTGCTACGCACCACGGCGCCCTGCTTCCTGAGCAAAGCGAAGAGGTTTCAGCATGGACGATGTCAATGATGCTTGACAGCTCACTGCATCTCTTAGCAGCGCTGCAATCAGCAACGGACTCAAAAGTATTGTATAGCATGCAATCCACTCCAAGGCTGCAGAGAACTGCCGCAAACGGCTGGTCCTGAAAACACGACACTAAGCACGCACCGTGTCACAAAGCAGCAGTAAACGACCAAAGTGGCTACGGATTTCATACTTAGAGTTAGGCCCAGCTACAGAATGTCTCTTTTACTTTTTATTCTTCGCTTTCAGTCCTGGTAAAATTCAAATGTATCTTTTCAGTCCACCCCGGATTTCTTGGGCGGGGTGTTGCGTGGCAAGGCGCAGCCGGCTCTCCCGCTTCTGGAAGGACTCGGACATCCGGCGCACCGCCTTCCCCTGGCTCCCGGCTGGAAAAATTCACCGGGGCGACGGGTTGGGCAGGAAAATCTACAGGGCACCCAAAAAAGCACCCCAAGTGCGTTTTTTCCTCTACTTCCCAAAAACACCCCAAGTGCGCTGATTTTCCCCCTACTTCCCAAAAATGCACCCCAGGTGCGCTGATTTTCCCCCTACTTCCCAAAAATGCACCCCAGGTGCGCTGATGTCCTCTCTACTTCCCAAAAATGCACCCCAAAGTGCGCTGATGTTCCCTCTACTTCCCAAAAATGCACCCCAGGTGCGCTGGTTTTCCCTACTTCCCAAAAATGCACCCCAAAGTGCGCTGATGTCCCCTCTACTTCCCAAAAATGCACCCCAGGTGCGCTGATGTTCCCTCTACTTCCCAAAAATGCACCCCAGGTGCGCTGATGTTCCCTCTACTTCCCAAAAATGCACCCCAGGTGCGCTGGTTTTCCCTCTACTTCCCAAAAATGCACCCCAAAGTGCGCTGATGTTCCCTCTACTTCCCAAAAATGCACCCCAGGTGCGCTGATGTTCCCTCTACTTCCCAAAAATGCACCCCACTTCCCAAAAATGCACCCCATGGTTTTCCCTCTACTTCCCAAAAATGCACCCCAGGTGCGCTGATGTTCCCTCTACTTCCCAAAAATTGAGGTGCGCTGGTTTTCCCTCTACTTCCCAAAAATGCACCCCAAAGTGCGCTGATGTTCCCTCTACTTCCCACAAATGCACCCCAAGTGCGCTGATGTTCCCTCTACTTCCCAAAAATGCACCCCAGGTGCGCTGGTTTTCCCTCTACTTCCCAAAAATGCACCCCAAAGTGCGCTGATGTTCCCTCTACTTCCCAAAAATGCACCCCAGGTGCGCTGATGTTCCCTCTACTTCCCAAAAATGCACCCCAGGTGCGCTGGTTTTCCCTCTACTTCCCAAAAATGCACCCCAAAGTGTGCTGATGTTCCCTCTACTTCCCAAAAATGCACCCCAGGTGCGCTGATGTTCCCTCTACTTCCCAAAAATTCATTTCAGGTGCGCTGGTTTTCCCTCTACTTCCCAAAAATGCACCCCAAAGTGCGCTGATGTTCCCTCTACTTCCCACAAATGCACCCCAAGTGCGCTGATGTTCCCTCTACTTCCCAAAAATGCACCCCAGGTGCGCTGGTTTTCCCTCTACTTCCCAAAAATGCACCCCAAAGTGCGCTGATGTTCCCTCTACTTCCCAAAAATGCACCCCAGGTGCGCTGATGTTCCCTCTACTTCCCAAAAATGCACCCCAGGTGCGCTGGTTTTCCCTCTACTTCCCAAAAATGCACCCCAAAGTGTGCTGATGTTCCCTCTACTTCCCAAAAATGCACCCCAGGTGCGCTGGTTTTCCCTCTACTTCCCAAAAATGCACCCCAAAGTGCGCTGATGTTCCCTCTACTTCCCAAAAATGCACCCCAGGTGCGCTGATGTTCCCTCTACTTCCCAAAAATGCACCCCAGGTGCGCTGGTTTTCCCTCTACTTCCCAAAAATGCACCCCAAAGTGCGCTGATTTTCCCTCTACTTCCCAAAAATGCACCCCAGGTGCGCTGGTTTTCCCTCTACTTCCCAAAAATGCACCCCAGGTGCGCTGTTTTTCCCTCTACTTCCCAAAAATGCACCCCAAGTGCGCTGTTTTTCCCTCTACTTCCCAAAAATGCACCCCAAGTGCGCTGCTTTCCTGTACATTTTTTTGCAACCCATCACTTCTGAGGAAGGCGAAATGGTCCTGGGCTGATACAGCTCCAATTCTGAGGAAGCAAGCCAAACCCTGGCGCTGGCCAAATTTGTCATTCAGCATCCTTGCATTTGCATTGAGTGCCACGGCATCTGTTCGCCCTCACAAACACGGAGCCTTACAAACTACCATACTTCTTCAACCAGGCCGGAAAACCTTCCAACATGGCCAATGGGCCAATGGGCTTCTTGCGCGGTGCTCATCTACTCCAACTATGCTCAGTCCACCTCCCTCCTCCCCAGCCTCTCGGCTCTGTGCTTCTCGGGAAGTTGCGCCCTAGAGGGACAAAATGTCAGGTTGGAAATCCAGCTACTTGTTTGCAGATTCCCATGGAACTCAAAACAGGGGTCCCCAGCAACGGAGATTCCTCTACAAATGATATTTGCTTCTGTTTCTTTTTGGGGGTTGCACGTTGACAGGCGGGGGAGTTTTCAATTTTCACACGCACCCAGTCTGCAAAAAACGAGTTGAGTGGTCCCGAAGAAATACTGAAACCACCCATCAAGGGGGTCCCCTGCTTACAAACGAGGCCATTTGCAATCCTCCAATTTGCGGGGTTTGAACAGGCAAAATAATACGACAACCAACGCCTGGGCCATCTTTGATAGGGAACCTAAGCAATAGCAACCGCAACGCTTTGCTCATTTTCAATGATTTGTTGTATTGATATATTTCGCGAGGGCTGGGGTGGGGGAAGCGGGAGATGGCTTGCGCGACCTTTTGCCTGGAACTCGCACGCAACACACAGAACCACGTGCACACTGGCCAAGATGGGCAAGGGTCCCTGGTGAATACGGCCAAGCACGCAGGCAGGCAAACAGGGAGGCGGGTGGGCAGGCAGGCAGGCACTGTCACACACACACACACACAAACGGACACACAGACACGGACACCCACACACAGACACACACACCACACACACACACACAGACTCACAGACACACACACATGCGCAGACACACAGACAGACGCAGACGCAGACGCAGACGCAGACACAGACACAGACACAGACAGAGACACACACACACACACACAAACGCACACCTCACAGTACAACACACAATCAGACACACACACACACATTCACACATAGACACACACACACACACCGCACACACACACACACAGACAACCATACACAGACAACCACACACACAGAGACACACTGACACACAGACACACCACACGCACACAGACAAACGCAAACACACACACACACACACTCACAGATGCACAGACACACAGACACGCACAGACGCACACACACACACACAAACACACTCACAGACACATAGACACACAGCACACACACAGACACACACACACACATACACCCAGACACGCAGACACAAACAAAGACAAAGACACAGACGCAGACACACAGACACACCACGCGGACACGGACACAGACACAGACACGGACATGGACACGGACACAGACACGCACAGACAAACGCACACACACACACACACGCACTCACACACACAAAAAAAAACACCACACACACAACCATACAGAGACAACCATACACACAGAGAAACACAGACACACGGACACACACATGCGCACACAGACAAACACACACACACACACAGACCCACAGACACACAGACACATAGACATGCACAGACGCGCACACACCACACACACACACACGCATAGACACATAGACACATAGACACACATAGACACACATAGACACACATAGACACACATAGACACACATAGACACACATAGACACACACAGACACACAGACACACAGACACACAGACACACAGACACACAGACACACAGACACACAGACACACAGACACAGACGCAGACACAAACACACACACACACACACGCAACACACACACACAACACACACACACACACGCATAGACACACAGCACACACAAAAACACACCAACACAACAAACACACTAAACCCCCAACACACCAACACGCCAACACGCCAACACACCATCACAACAATTCAACACAACACAACACACACACACACACAAGCAGCCGCAGTAAGCGCAGTTAGCGTCTTTGAATCTTCTGCTGCTTTTCTCTGCGCATGCGTAGGTTCTGCTTTGAGGTTTGTCTCAGCAGAAAACTCCGCCGCATACTTAACAGTTGACGGATGCTGCTTTGCTACAGAGTGTCTTTGCTGCAAACCCACATCTGTTCGACCAACATCAAGAAGTTTCTTCCGGCATGCCCTCGTGCCCACTTTGCTTGGGGCTGACAGGCTCTCGTTCTCCGAGCAAGTGGGAGGGGCGCTAACCTGGCTTACTCCCGCTGCCCTCACGTGGCTGCACGCTATATGTGGCTGGTTGGGAACGGCCCTGCTTTTCTTCCAGGCGGTTCTTTGTTCGCGGCAGCCCGGTACCTCTTCAGAAGTGTGACGCAAACCTCTCTACGGTTTTTTAAACGGTGTTTGTACCGGTAAATGTTGCTCAAAGATTGAGGCAAACGCAGGTGGCCAAGAAGTCTTCGCGGGTGAAACGCTTGCGCCGGCGGGGTCCAACAGAGCGCGAGGTCCTTCTCGCCGGCGCGAGTTTGTTTACGCCAGCCTGTGCCCTCAAGCTACCCCAGATTTTGTGGAAACTGGAAGCTACCCCCATGATAAACATCGCAGTTGGTTTGAGCAGCTTGAGGATCCATCACACCTCCCAGCAATCTCCTTGGCCCCAAAGTTGGTCCTGGTGGCCGGGTTCGAACCCCGGAGCCCGCGGAGCCCGCGCCTCCTCATCGGAGTCCGCGCCACCGTGCCACTCCACCGGCTGCTTCACCACCTCCACCTGGCCGCGAAAAAAAACGCGGCCGCGAATCAAAAGGGAAGCGCGCGCGCTTGATGTTGAATTGGCACCCTTCTTCCTGAATGGCGGCAAACACATTCAAGAGTTGCAATATGGCCATGGGTCAAAATCCCGTGACCCACAGCCATTTGGGTGTGTCTCCTCACCATTGAGGGACAACGGGTGTCACAGCGCGGATCTGGAGAATGTGGAACCAGGATCGATAAGCCCCTGCTTGATTGACATTGAGGTTTCTCCCATTTTAGACTCGACGGGATCCGGATCACGTGTGGCAGGTTGATTCATCCGTCAGCACCTGGGGTGCCTGGAATCAGTCACCAAATGTTCCACATCATCCCCACATCTTCATGAGTCTTCATTCGCCCACAGAGCTCGAGCAAAGAAGCACCCCCATAACCTATATAAAGCGGCAGCCTCATGGCCAGTGGCTTTTCAGAAAACTGGTCTACTGGGGTTCTGATCAGTCCGGATCAATCCGAGGTTGATGGCAGGCCCCCGGCTTGGGTCTGTGTTGAAAAACGCTTTTGGCTAGTTTTGAAGCAACACCACAAGGAACAACCCACCATCTTGGGGGGATCCCATGTTCCCCCAGCCCCTCAATGGGGCACCTTTTTAAGACACTTGTTTTCGAATGCCCCCCAAAAAGAAAAAGAAAAAAACACGAGAAAGGATCTGCCACCCACCGGAGGTCTGGGTTCCATGTCGAGTCGCCGGGTTCGGCATCAGGACTTCAACCTTCGACCCTACACCCCTACATGTTGTTGTTGCTTTTTTAATCAAGAAAAAAGGGAAAACAACTGCTTTGTGTCCCATGTATTTGTTGTGCCTTTTGCCTTTCTAAGGGAGACAAAAACAAAAAAAGAGCTGCGAGTGCCGAGTTCGTTGGCTCCGAAGCGAGGCCCGAGACGGCCTGGGTGTCCCCCAAAATCTGCTCGTCCTTCCGGACCTCCGCGGCGACACTGAGCCGCTGCTCCCGAGCCTGGAAGGACTCCGACCTCGAGGCCGGCCGGCGCGCGGATAAAGCGCGAGAGATTTGCGGATTTCGGCGCTCCTTTCATCGATCGACCCCGTGACTTCAAGATCACCTGACAGTTCAAACCGCAAATGTATGGCTGGGAGTATCCCTTAGCCTTCATCTCCGCGGAACGGCTTTGATTGTGGCTATGATCCCAGCCGTTTTTTGTCGAAAAAGGCAGGCAGAAGTCAAGCAAGAGGGCTCCCCTTACAATGGCTCTATAACACCCTATGGGGTCGATGATCCTACCAGCAAGTCGAGTGACTTGACCACTGCACATGGAGGCCCACAAACCAAATCGGCTCGCAAAGAAAGCATGCATCTCAGACAGATCTCAATGAATCATTGCACTTCACCAACCTAACCCAAGGAGACATTCACACAACTCCCTACGCGAGGAACCTTTGTCGCGGGCAAACTCCCTCAAGCCGATATCCCCAAATGGAACGGTCCCCCACAGCGAGCCACGCGTGCTTCTCCTGCTTCTCGTCATTGCCCTCATCCTCCGACTCTGCAACAGCGCCCCATTCCTGCCAGGGGGTCTTTTGTCGCCATGCAATCTTTGCCAAACTGAGAAACTCTCACTTGCGCCGAGCAACTCACCAATTAACACATGATGCAATCATGGGAGGAAAGATATGATGGGATACATGTGGCGTGTGCAAGTGACGGGCTGGTGCAGGTCAACGACTATCGGCCACATCGCGATAGCAGGCAAATTGGGGAAACTGTGCTCCCCTGCTAAAAGTTTGACTTTTCGTCGTTTTGATGGAAACCCAGTTGGCAAAATGTTAAAGTCCTAACATCCCTGGCAAAATGCACCAAAGGCATCATGGCCCCACCGGTTCGCGCGCAGGAGAGTGGCTCCCGCTCCCGCTCCCCGGGCCGCACACCGCAGGCCCTCCGTAGTTTGGTGCCCCACGGTGTCCCTTTCAAGCAACACATCCTGGAAATGGAGGGGTTTGTCCTCATCTGAGCGACCTTCTTCTCAAAGTGGACTGGAGAGCTCCCATGCCTACTAGCTCCACCAACCACAAGCAGGAAATGGAGGGGGGGGTTCCGTTCCTCCCCCTGTTTCACCAAACAAAGGTCGCGCAGGGAGCGGCCTTGCTCTCTTCGACCACGGCTACGTTGGCGCCCTCCGCCGCCATCCTCCCTATCTGCGAGCTGAAAAGGCCGCGGCCTCGACCGCAATGAGATGATGTTGGGCCCCAAAATGGCGAACCCCGTTCTTGGTTGCTGTTGACCCTGCAAAAAGTGTTGTTGTTTTTTTTACTTCTTGGGGATTTAGTGGGAAACCCCTTGATTTCCCAAAAAGTTAAAGTGTAAAGATCCAACCCAGTAGCAGTCAAGCTTTGGTCGGTGTTCAAAGGGAGACCGAAAGGAAAGATGCAGGTGCTTTTCAGGGGGTTCCCTTGAGAACACCACCCTCAAACTAGGCTTGGTTTGCGGATGATGCCATAAAAAAGGAGCCCGGAAAGGAGTAGTCTTGCGCTCCGATCAGATTCCATGATTGTGGGAGTGCAGGCAGAAACTCTGAAACTCCAGTTCCAAGCGCGGACCTCTGACCCAAACATGCCTGCATGCGGCTTCTAGTGAAGCTGAGAAATCCCAAGGCCAAGGCCCGTTCAAAAAAAAATCGGCATCGAGACGTACCTTGCCAAGTTGAGAGCAAGATCCCAAGCCCTTTCTGTCCACAAGCCGCGCCGTTCTTCGGAGCAGCAGTCTAGATGGGCACACGAATGCGAGACTCTTGGCTGAGCCAAAGATCTCTGCGTCGCACTCAGGTTGCAAGTTGGGGGAGCTTGCTAAGTAGTCCAAACCCAAACCTTCTCCTCCGTTTGCTTCAGCCCACTGGAAAAAATAAACATATTTCCAGTCGTGATAGATTCCCTTTAAAACCAACGGGGGAAAATAACACATGTCCTTAAACAACTGGAAGCTCTGTTTTGGTGGCTCTATCATTTCTCTTCCACTGGCCTTTCTGGCCGCGTGCCCATTCGCATTGGCTCATGGGCGCATTGGCCTCGTCGGGGCATGGACATCAGCCCACCCTCACGCCGTGGGAGGTGATCATGCTGCTCATCGAGCCCTCGCTTCGCATCGAGTCGAACCAATTCGCTGGACAGGGGTCAGACTCTTTCCTCACCTGAGTGAATGGCTCAAACAAAAAGTAGCCAAACTTGTTGTTTACCACTGAATGGTCCAGCCCCAAAGGTCCATGAACTTAGGAAGTGAGTTTCAGGTTCGGTTTCACGGTTGTTTCGCGTGTAATCGAACCCTGAACATTGCCTCATGATTTGTTCAACATGGACTGAGCCTATGGACGGACAAGTGACCAGTGAGACAAAACCATCCGGGGGCCCAGGCTGTGGCCCCGTACTGCGTCCGCTGAGGGTCATGCACCTGACGCCCGAAGGAAGGACATTCGGCTTACTTGGTGGTTTGGAGCCCGCTGGTTTGATAGTAGGTGGTTGTTTCTTACTTACAATCTACAAAAAAGCGGAAATCAAATCTCACCACCAATCCAAACCACCGATTCAGACATACCTGAAGCATGGCGTTGTCTCCAGAATAAGCCTTCCAAAATAAGCGGTCCTCTACTTTGCGGCACCCCACGTGGTGTTGTTGCCGAATAGGAGACAAATGTGGGGCAAAAGGGTTTGTCTACGTTGGTCACTGCTGGTAGGAGCATGCAGCAAGCTCGGTAGGCAAACGTTGGCATTCAGCTATGCTGCCGTCCTGCGATTGGAGCAATCCAATTCTGGCGTCCTTTCCAAGGACTGTCTTTGGCTGCTGAACTTGCGTGCTTGTGCCGGTTGAAACACGGCTTAGCTTGAAGTTTGGTTCATGGCTCGCTTGCCTCTTGAGGCATGACAAGACTCAGTGACCAGGATTTTTGAAAGTAAATCCGTGCCACCCGGAACTGGGTGCATGACGAGTCTGGCCGACATGAAGAATGATCCATCTCCTTCGAGTATCCTTTGGGGGAAGGTAAAAAATGGGTGCAACTCAGCACCCAGGGAAAAGACATGTTTCTTGCCTTGAATGTGGCACAACATGTTGCATGTTGTAGCCCATTCACCCACACCGCCTGCGTGTGGGTCATGGTTGGCTGGTACGCCTTCTTGCGCGAGTCGAAGTCCTGTCTTGAAAAAGCCAGTGGCAAGGCAGCAAAAGGGCTGACATGCAGTGCCAAATGCATCAAAATTCATGGGATTCACTTGACAGCCCTGGCTTATGGCTTGGCGGGTCTCTCAGAAATGTGTGTGTGTGTGTGTTTAGTTATTGTTATCACATTTAGTGGGAGACAAAGCTGCGCTTTACACGTGCTGTTTTGCACTCTGTGCCAACTATGTAGCATGTATATATATATATATATACATATATATATATATATTGGCACGTGTTGAGGTAATGTGGAGAAAACAGTCCTCCTGGAGACGCAAAAAATCAGACCATGAGTCCGTTCCAAGGCAGCTAAGCAAAAGCAGTGCCATCTCCTCTAACTCGGATGTGACGGAGTCAAGCCATCTCTGACTTCTACAAGCGACAGCCAAGCCAAAGAGAGTACATGTTAACTTTTAACCATTACCCTCCAAACCAAAAAGCTACCAAGATTGACATAACCAAAACAAACAACCTCCCTCGACAAATCTCTTGAGAACCTCTGGAAACCACACAGCTCCGCTCCTGACAGGAGACAAGCTTGCCGTTCTGCCACTTCCGAGTGCTTATCCGGCCATCCTGCGGAAAAACAAGGAACACTGGCACGATTGCCCTCGCTTTGTCCCCAGGCAAATGCGAAATCACATGGGCTCGTCTCCAAATGGAGTCACCCCCCCGATTGGTGTGCAAAGGGAAACCAAACACGCTTTCTGCGGATAAACATCTTGACGCAGTGCGAGGAAAGCGCCCGTGGTGTCCGGGCTGCCGCTGTCGCGCTGGTCCATAGCTTACCAGAGAAGACAACGTGAACAACGTAAGGGATGGTGATGACGGCCCTGCAAAAGGCTTGGGTTGGGACCATGTTCCACAGACCCCAATAGAAATGCTTCCCGAGAACTTGCAGTTGACCGCTGCTGTTGCTGTGATGAACCTTCTTGAAGACGCATCAGCTCAGAGCTAGTGTCTAAACCAGTTGGACTCCACTCACCGACACAAACCAACTAGGGAAATTAGCCACGCCTACAGAAACGATCGAGGTGGACTTGACAGCCAGTTTCAGCATTCTTGTCCATCCTCCATTTACACTTCATGGGCGGGTGCTTCCTTCGGTCCATGCTGGGTGGTTTCCGCACAGTGGGAATGCCTCTTTTTGGGGAAGGAACACACGACGTGAGCAGTTGCCCCTCGATGTCCTGTCAAAAACGCAAGGGGCTCCCTCAAAAAAGGACACAACATCCACTGAAAGGTGGATGTGCTACGAACAAGATACCCTCCCTTACCCTCGCCAACGGGAAGCCAACAGCAAAATGTTTGGGGGGTCCTTGGAACTGAGCGAGTCCCCTGGCAATTTGTGGGGAACAAGTATGGTCATCTATGCCAAATCCCAAATGGACCATAGACAACCAGACCTTTTGACTGAACCTACATTGTGACATGCCTACAACAAGTTATTTTCGCTTCAAACCAAGGTGAAAAGGGTACAAACCACACACCTCAAATGCGGGTGTATCAAAACGGTGGACTCTTCTTTCTGGTTGCAAAGGGAACCCAAGGAAAGCCAACACCTTCGGGGTTCAGGAGTAGACCCCTCATTTTTTGTGGGGTTGCGAAGGAAACCCCGAAAAAATGCCACCAGAACCAGCACCCTCCATATTGGGTGATGGCTAGAAGCCAAGTCTTGGAGGGTGCTGGACCCCCCAATCTTTTTTCGACTGGTACCTTCCAATCCCATTCTTTCCAGGGATCCTTCTTTCTGGAAAACCTCCGGAAGCCCAGAATAAATAGCAATCGGTTTTTTGAAAAGAAGGAGGGTTGAAACGAATGGGCTAAAATTTTGCCCTTTGGGTGGTCTAAGCCATCTTGGGTGCTTAAATGGCACCCAGCCACCCGTGGAAAGTGCTGGAACCCCCCATTTGGCTGTGGATAAATCCCATGGTACCATTTTGGGGTAGGTGACCGGTAGGTGAATTCACCACCCATTTTAGAACCTATTTTAGTGGAAATTGAATCGGATGTTCACTGGGGCTACGATTTGGAATTTGACCCACAGGCATTTGTTGGCCAACAGTCTCAGGCCCAACTTTGGGGCCAAGGAGATGTTTGGTCTAGGTGTGCCAACAGATCCTCAAACTGCCATTTTGACCCATGGCCAGTTTGGGGTTCCCACTCCCCACTCCTTGTGGTAGAAGGTGCCGCTGAGCTTCACACCCTTCTCCCAGAGCCCCAGGAACTCGTCGCCGTTTAGGTAGGTGTACTTGCCCCGGTCCTCGAAATGGCGGTGGTCAACACCGTTTTGGGATCCCATTTGAGCGGTGATCAAAATCAATAGGCCAAATTGCGATGATATCATTTGGCGCTTCCGCGCGCTTCCGCGATGCGGGTGTTTGCTTCCGCGCTCTCATTTCCCTTCCGCGCCTTCCGCGGCTTGCGTCTCTTTCCAAGCCAACACAACTAGATATTGAGTTTGTCATCCACCACCCGTTGCTTTCGTGAAAAGTTGCCAACAAGATCACTGCAGCAATATTGATTCACGCGGGCCTGGCAATTTTTTTGCTGTCCCTGACAGGCTTCAGTGGAGCCCAGACAGCTGTAGGTTTATGGGTCCCATACTCATTACGACGCTGAAACGCGAATCCTAATAGATTTGCAACCGCAAACGTGAAGCCTCACGACACACCGCGGCTAGCGAGAACATCACACACAAGGCATCCAAATCGCGGAACCCTTCCGCCGTCCTTCCGCGCCCTTCCTCCAGCGTTCCGCAAATTGAGCCCCACATCAATCTCCACACATTTGAGGCCTGGGCCTAAAACGATTTGTTCGATTTGTTCGGGCCGAACAAATCGTTTAGTGCCTGGAAGCTATGGGGAGCTAAAACGATTTGTTCGGGCTTCGCTTCAACTGACAAGTAAATCTCGGCCCAACCGGCCATGGCAGAAGAAGCCCATGTGGTGACTTGGTAAAGCACTTTGACTTGCCCTGGAGGGGAAGTGCATGAAGAGTCTCGATTCCTCGACGCCGATTCTTGCGGGGTGACGGCCAAAACAGGCCAGTGAAAATCGTTTGGTTTTGTGGGGAGCAAGATATTTGATTTCGATAAAAATGTTCCCCTTCCGCGCCCTTCCGCTGTGCAAATTTCGTAGTCAACTTCCGCCGGCCCTTCCACAAGTTCCGCGGCCTGCGGAAAACCTTCCGCACTGATTGATTTCAGCGCTCCCTTACTTAAATTGCTTTGAGCATTTTTGATCGCTGCTCATTTGGTGGGTCAAAAATAGGGTAACCCCAAATGGAACCAAGGATCAATTCCTGTCCCCTGGTGGTTAGATTTTGAGGTGAATTCACCACCCATTTTAGAACCTATTTTAGTGGGGATGGAGATGTTCAGTGGTACGGGATTTGGACCCATGGCCAAATAGACTAGGTCCTCCAGTAGAGAGGATAGAATAAGAGCACCCGCTTGTTTGTTTTGCTTTTTGTTCCGTTTTCTGTAGTCTATTTTAACAGGGGAACCCTCCTCCCCAAAAAAAGGGTCCCACCCCCCCTCCCCGGCAAAGCACCCGACACATATCCCACCCCCCCACCCACCCCAGCGCTACCCGCCACCCGGAAAGCATACGCAAATATTTGTTAGATGCGATATTCCCACGGCCAAAGCTGAGGGATGGGCTTGGAACTTTCCATCGGCCCAGTCGCCCTCGAAGCAATCTCCTCACGGAGCTTGGCCCAACTCTGGGTGCAAAAATCGGGCTGCTTCATAACTCACCCGATTTAAAGAACCCACAAATCTCAAGCCTTATGGAAAACCCACAAAACTCAAAGGGTCCCTTTTGGAGACCCCAGGGAATGCAGGGGGTCCTTACCAGCACCCTTGCTGTTCTTTCCGCAAAGCAATTGCTGGGGGGTACTGATATATGTTCTCTTTATCCAGAACCTGTTGTAGCCTTTTAAAAGGGGTGTGCACTGCCGTGTGCATTGGTAGGGCAAGCTTTAAACATCACCCGAACTGGGTTAACCAAAGAGGACATCTAGTAACTCAAAGTTGGGGAACCCGCAAAGTGGTTGGCTTCCCTGGCTAGTGGACCTGATAGTAGTCCACCTGGTCTTGTGGGGGTTTATAACCTGGGTGGGCGGGACAAAAACTGATTCCCCAACCCGAAAGGGCTCTTTATGAGCCTTCATGGAGCCAATCGGTCGCACGAATCCTTTTCGTGAGGCCGTCTGCTTGTTGAGAGGGTACACCTTTGAAGCTCTAAACGGGGCACCGAAACATTACACCGAGGCGAAACCGCCGCAAATGGCCAGGACACTGCAACCTGTCATCCATTACAAACAGGGCGAAGCATCAGCTAGTTCTGGAGATGGGGCCCCGTGTGCAATGGAAGACAAAGGAGCATGGCGAAAAATGATCTAACAACACAAGGCCGATATGCCTAGCACACAAACGAAAACAAACAACAAGCCACCCAGCAATCAAAAGCATTCAAGCCAACCGGCATATCAAACAGTCAGAACAAACAAAAGAACAACCAACAGAACGAGACCAAACTACAAAACAAGCAAACAAACAAAGACAACAAAACCCAATGAAGCCAATAACTACCACAAAAACACCATGCAAAGAAGCACACCTACCCCCCGCCACTCCGCTGGCAAACTTCATGATGCCGAAGCCGTGCTTCTTGCCGCGCTGGCAACGGGCAAACGGGTCCAAAGACCTCTTGTGCCGCCTTTATGCGTACCCAGAATGAAAGCCTGGTAAATGGAACCGAAGACTACAACCCTGCGGTCCCCCGATGGTTCTATTTTGACCCATACCCATTTAGTTTTGACCACCCCCGCGTGTAAAAAAAAAAAACTTGCACCGGTTAGGACTCTCCCAGTATAGGGTTTCATCCATCCCAACTGGTGCAGTTTGGGAAGCTGACGTTACCGTTGTTCGTACTTGCCTGCAAGTCAACAGGGAACCCAAATAGGGGAACTCGAAGGGAGGTCTCTCCGGAATTGTCCTTTGTGGATACTTTAGGGGAGTATGTGTTTACTCGTTTGTTGCTGGGCTCTGTCCGTTTTTGGCGCGGGCTGCAAAGAACACAACTTTCTTCTGAGGGAAGCTGACTTCGTGGTTAGAGGGCTTCAACAGGACCAGGAAAAGAAGGATCAGGGGAAACAATGGGGAAGGTACCCCTAGAACAATGGGTAAAAAGCTAAGGGGGATGGCTGGGAGCCACCAAGTAACAATGAGCAAAACCAGAGCTTGCAAAGAACAGCGACGTCTGACTCTCCAAGCTTCCGCGCTACGGGCACGCGCCTTCCATTCTCCCACGTAGCTCTCGCAGGAGGGCGGGGCAGCCTGGATGTCTCTGGGTGGTGTCGTTAGCTTGGAAGGTCCCACTTGCTTCGTTTCTCTTGGGCTGGTGTTTCAGGGAAGCCAGGAAACCCATTAAGGGTTCCCGGTGGGAAATTCCCGGTGGGAAATTCCCGGTGGGAAAAGACACATCGCAGCCTTAAGAGAGTCTCGGGTTGTCTCTGCGGGTTGCGCGGGTTCCCCGTTTCCCCCTGACACATGCCAAGTCACCAAAAAACTCGAACGAACACGCACACAAATAGACACAAAAATACACACAGCACACAACAAATCACAACACACGCAACAAAGCACACACACAGAAACGCCAACCAACACACAAACCCCCTGTCTCACGCCTCCCTTGAAGGGGATCCGTGGGCGTGCATGCGCGCCTTCCACTCGCCGTGGCCGTGGGGGAAACCATCCTGGTTGCGTCGAACTTCGGATGGGCCTCTTGGGCCTCTTTGGATCGGATGTTCTTCAACTCAGTTTTAAGACATGGGGGAAACGGTGGGAAAACATCCCAAACAGTTATAAAAGGACACCTACTTTTCAAAAGGAGCGGCAAACCCTAAGACTGCGTTGGGCGATTGGAACAAGAAGTTATCGTTTGCGGGGGTTCGCCATATCGTTCCTGAAGGTTTCTCACACTTGTCCTTTGGGGGGTTCACTAAATCACCAAAGGCATATCTCTGCACCAAAGAGTTTAGCTCTGGGAGAAATAGTTGACTCCAGCAGTCAGGGGACCTCTAACTCGTTGAGGGTCACCCAAATCAGGCCTGCATCCTACCACCTTGTTCGAACATGTTTGAACCAATCAACCTCAACCAAATCAATGATAGCCACCTGGGTTGGGTATCCCGCCCCTTTGTCGAAGCCACCAGGGTTGCGGTCTCCCACACTCCTGGTTAAACATGTTGAATCCACAATTCTTGGAACAAACTCCTGTTGGGTCTGGTAGTTTAAGCCAATTTTGCAACCAGACCTGATGTCCACCCATCTTTTGGAGGGAAAGATAGGGAAGGGAAAAAGGAAAACCCAAAGGACACCCTTGCCATTGGCCTCTCAATTTTATGTCTCCAAAGGAGGTCAACAATGGGAGTGCTTGAGAAGACCAGTCCACTTCGTGATCCATCCTGGGTTGCGAAATAAATGGTTGTTAACGTTTGGGGTCATGAACAGAAATTGACAAATCACGGAAAACCAAAAGGTCAAAACATCGATTTGTTTTGGGCAAGCAAGAGGTAATTGGTGAGGGCAAGATAATTCCCTCACTTGGCTGATGCAACTTTCAATGCGCTCTGACTGGCGCCCGCAGGGGCCTATCAAACAACCCAGCTTTGCCAAAGTCCAAAGGAACAGCCTGCGCTTCAGCAAAACCGCATTTTGGGGGATAAAATGGGATAAAGCAAACCGACACCAACCAGCAGCCCCCCAACAACTGCTTTGGGGTATGGTAAAAAAAAAAAAAAAACGTCCTGTGCTGGACGTTTTGTCAGCCCCTCAGCGAGGGTGCTGACCGTCAGCTTGAGGACCCGGCCTTCCACTCGCCCGTGTAAGAGGAGCCGTCGGGGTTGATCCGAACCTGTCACGAAACGTAAACCAGTTTCAGGCCGAATGTTAATATCCACATCGAGTAATTCAAAGGACCGTTGCTCACCAGGGTTGGCTCCCCTTTGTTGGATCCATACATGTCAAGGAGGTCCTCTGATATGGATGGTGCTCCAGATTCTTTAATCCGAAGTCACCATGTCCGTAATTGTCCTTTGCGCACGTTCACACGCTCGGACCCCACAAAGGATGCAAACTTGCAAACAGGTCTCACACGTGCACACCTCTCTTTTCAATATGTCCTCCACCCATCTGCAACCATCATGGTGATTCGAAATTATTGTTCCTGTGAGGTGCGAATTGCTGATGGAACCTTGAGCAAAGCACTGAAGCCGGGACTGGCCGAAGCCACGCCGACGAGTGGCGGGTTTTCAGCAAGAAATATTCAACCTTTGAGCACCTCACTGCAAATTAACCCAAAACGCATTTTAACATTTTTAACATTTCAGGGGTCCCGGAATAAATGCACACAAACAGCCAAACCTCACGAACATCGAACACTTCTTGGACTGAAAGCTAAAACTCAGGGGCTGCCAGCCTTTGTGCTCGCGAGGCAGCTGTTAAAGACACAAAAGGGCTGGCTTTGTGAGCCCCTCACCCCTCTCCTCCCTCCCTCCCCCCCTCCCTCTCTCTAGCTCAGACTCTCGCCCTCTCTCTCTTTCTCTCTCTTAGTTGCTAGCTATTTGATTCGTTTTTCAAGCCCACAGCTCGGTCGCATTCTACGCACTCTTCCCTGCCCCTCAGATCCACCAATCTGCCAGCTCGGCTCCGGGACCCTTGGGAACCGGCCCCTCATGGCACGGGTCCCCCTGGAAGCAACCTCTGTACCTCGCAGCGCGCGCAGCGCGCGCAGCGCTCTCGTCGAACGTCCCTCCAGCGAGCACCCCGTGGAAATGCGCGGTGATCCCATGCACCGTGCTGCTATGAGTAGGGAATGACCTTCCGCGGTTTTGGGAGTGAAGCTAGGGATTCCCAAGGGAAAATTATAGGGGGATGGTGTTTTGGGGTCGCTCCCTCATTCCCTCCTGAGAACCAGCAAGTACAAGGAAACTAAGAAAGCCCTTCAACTTGAAGGAACAATGGTTACCTACTACAGCACTACAGGCATATCGCCTGGGATCTATTGAACTGTGGTTCATGGATGATGTCAGCAAAAGGTTCTGGGAATGTCTCCTTGTAATCGCGCAGGTCTCGCTCTCTGTGTTTTTCTGCAGTGATTGAAAAGACATATTGTGTGCCATGTTCCCCCAAATAGGAATCGTCTATCCTGAATCAAGGCTGCTGACCAAGACTGCCAACCCCGGCAAAATGGTTCGTTGACCATTGCGTAAGAGGGTATAGATTGATGGCAAACACTGGCTGTCTTGGTGTCGTGTTTGAAACACGCAACAGTTGTCAAAAGCCCACCGCCCGTCTGCGCTCCGAATTTCTTTCCAAGCTACCTTTTGCGAGACAAACTCGGCGTGACTTCTGCTTGCTCAAAGTCAAGGATTCCTCCCCCCCCCCCGCCCGTCATGTGGATCTTGGATTAATCAAACCACTGAAATCATATTCATAGGGCGTGTCCTGAAAAAACATGGAGCCCCTCTAACGGGCTCCAAAAACAGACAGTAGAAATCAACCACCTCAGTACCCTATGCTGAGCCCCGGTCTCCGTAACGCCTCCGTTGGAGGCGGTGGAGGTGAAGGATCCTAAGCCGGTGCCAGCAGGTTTCAGGGCTCTTGACGACAACACCAGCTCTGCTTCCAAATGGCTACGGCTCAAAAATTGGTACCCAAAATGGCCTTTGGTAGATGGAATCAAGACCAAAAACCCAGCTCTTTAATTTTGAGCCCAAATAGAGGCTTGCCGAACACGTGTCGTCCGACTGCTTTTCTTGAAAGAGGCTTCTGGCTTCCAGCACGTCGTGTGGAGCATGCGGATGTACGTTCAGAGGGTACCCTTTTTGCGTTGCCTTTTATGTAAAAAGAAAAACCAAAAGTTGAAAACCGCCATGTTGCGGGGTCCAAATGAAGAAAGACACACACTCACGTCTCCGCAAAAAAAAAAACACAAAAAGCGGCTTTTCGAGTCCACCGGCTTTGAGTCTGGGATTCCCGGCCGCTCATGGCAGAGTGCCTTGATTGGAAGTGCCAGACCCTCAAACATCGGAGGCTGTTGGCCGTCTCCCGTTTTTTCCGGTAGCCATTGAGGGTCCTGGTCTTGGAGTTGTGTGGGACAACCCATCATTTGTGGCGTCCTTCCTCTCGCCTCCCGTTCCAAACCAACCAAAAGGGCGAGTGGCCTCCTAGCTTTCCAGACAACGGCAGGGCGTCCTTCTTTTGGTCTCTATTTGCCTGCAAGGACCCCACACCCCTGCCAAACCCCGAACCCACCGAACTGATATGGCCTTACTTGGCCGTCTTAGGGCTCCCTTCTTGTCGGCTCAAGCGCTTAACCGGTGTGTGCAAGTGGTCGGGTCCCACCAGCAAAAAGGCCAGCTACCCGCTGAAACATTGGTGAAACCAGTGTTACATTAGACTCCCGCGCACTTTTTGGGGCACTGATCATTTCACCCCACATTTGCTCTACCCAACTTGCCCTACCCAATTTGCCCCAATTTCAAAATCACCCAAACTCCCCCCCCCTGCCCTAAAATTCCCCTAAAAACAGGATTCCTTGCGTGTCCCCTTTAAGCATCACCACCACCCAAAAAGCGGAATGTAAGGACCCGTGCACAAACACATACCCAACTCCCCCCACCTCCCAACTCACCCCACCCCCCATTTGAACCCAACCTGCATTGAAACAAAAACAAGAACACCCAAAGAAAGGCCCCGCAAAAGCAGAAAAGTTCCCCTGAGACGAACCCATGGCCTCGGGAAATTTGAAGGGGGCACCACCTCCAATGTGGTTGGTGGACAGGAATCCCCGGCATGATGTCCACCAAAAAGGTTTTAATTCAAATTCCCATATGAGTCACAATCAAACCCGGTATTAAACTGCTCTACCCAAAACCATCCAAAGACTTGAAAAGTCGGATATCCGAAGTCGCAAAGGGCCAGGGCTCCCAGCGAAAGATGTTGGTGGTGCAGCACAGTGAAGCTGCCCACCCCTCCGAAAAAGTCCCGGTGGTGCACCTGCGGCATTCGGCGGCAGCTCCCTTGGAGAACCCCACCGATGCAAAAAAACACCAAGCCACGGGGGGGTTACAAGGGTTAGACCGGTACCTGGATTTCCAGTTGCCTTTATTTTCCAGCTACTTTTGCCAAATTATGGGCTAGTAGTGGGTAAAGTGGCTGGAAAATAGTGACTACTTGGGGGTCCAGGTACGGTACAAAGGTACGACTGGTACGCTACGAGGGACCTGAACCCTCAAAGGGGGCCACATAAGGAACAGGTGTCAACGAAAAGTGTTGGTTTGGTTGTTTGCGGTGCGCATTGGTGTCCCTTTCAAAACCATAACAAACCTGATTCAGGCACCCAAAAGGGTGGGGGTGAAAGCCCACCAGTGGAACTAGATGCCAGGAAGTGATTGAACTCAAGTATGTCCAGTCCACAGGTGACAGGTCAAGTCGTGTCCATATGCCCATCACTTAGCGTGGCAAATCCTTGGCACAGGGTGAACTATCTCGTGAAAAATGCTCCAGATTGGCAAACCTCATCTTTGCATTTCTTTTCAAAACCATCCCCAAAGGGGCCCAAAGGCGCTTGCCATGTTGAGCCAGGCCCATGTTCGTCGCAACGGAACTCCGATGCGCGAATCAACTTGAATCTCATACGCTCAGCAGTCCATGGCGCCTTGAGTTCGTCAACCTGCGCAGCTGGCAACTCAAGCTCGAAACTTCCAGAACGCGACCCGGCTATAAATCTAGCAGAACTCCAACGGGCAACCGGTTTGGGCAGTGGCAAACACTCATATAGGGCCGGAATACATGGGGAATAAAAGAAGAAAAAAAACGTTCCTGGTAAGTTCCCTTAAAACCAACCTGAGGGTACCCTTAAAACTAAAACATACCCTCCCAAGACTCCCAAGCCCTCCCATTCGGATTCAGCAACTCGTGGCTCGCAGTCGTAAGCTCATCCGAATTTTCACATTTGAGCGGTCGATTGGCTGGACCGCTTAAGCCTCAGGGCGGTCCGGCGTGGAGATGGGCATGAATTTGAATCAGGGACCCTTTGGTGATTTTGGGATTCAAACATGGCACATGTTGTGGGGTTTGGGATGCAGGAGCTTCAATTTGGGCGCGTGGCCCGTGGGCATGTTGAGCTGACTCATATCTAAACCTGCTTTTTGAAGGGAAGCCTGTTCCCTGTGTTTTGATCAGGCAAACGATCCTTGGCTTGGCACAACCCTCTCAGCAAAAGGTCCACAGCCCTCGCCTCTTCCAAGCCTTTCAAAGGCTCATCCAAAGGCTGCGACCTGGTCCAAAGGAGCGGAAAGGGTGATAAGAATTTGCTGATTTAGGAAACTCAAAGAACGAATGCCAGCATATAACTTGCCCCAACCATTTGTTGGACCCGACTTGTCGCAAAAAAAACCAATATTAAGAGGCGAACACGTCAACTTTGGATACAAAGTGATCAGGCGCCGGGCATGGATCCGGGCTCCTGACAGCTCATGGCAGTTTCGGCTCAACGCTTTCCACGCCGAAAACCCGCCCATGCCTGAAGCAACCCTGGGACCCTTAGTGTTTGAACCAGTCCCAAAGCCGCAAACCAGCCCAACCAAAAATTGCGAACCCCGAACACGACCCAGCTTGGTCTGTTTTCGGCCGGTCAAGCCTCGCCCAAACCAAACCAAAGCCAAGCGAAACGACAAAGCCTGAAAACAGCATGCCCGGCGTTCAAATCAGAAAACCGACCTCGGTGATATGCACTTTACTTGCCGAACAACAAGAAGGGCCGCAGCCGACTCGAAGCCTGAGTTGTTGCTCAGATTGGTCAGCGTGAGATCCGGCTGGACATCGAGAGGTGAGCTACTCACAAAGTAATGCGTCCACGGGTGAACAAGTGCGCAGTCACAATTGCGTGAAAAATTGCGAATGCACACTAGAATTGGGGACTCTTCTGGAAAAGCATGGGACACCACAAGGAAAATTCAGGAAAACGCATATTTCCAAGTGTCCTTGGTTGCGACCCACAATGAATCGATGTAACGAATAACCTACACACACAAAGCCTATCAGTTGTGATTGGGGGCAATTCAGGCGGAGTGCTTGGCAACCCGATCCAGTCACCCAACCAAGCAAAATCACCAACGGCCACCCACCAGCCAACTAAGT